CTTGGGCCTCGTCGAGGCTCTGGTCAGTGATGTTCATGATCTGTTGGAGGATCTCACCGATGTCCTGCTTGCGGGGCTCGTTCTCGCCCCCTGTGGGGGCGTCCTGCGCGTTCATGTAGGGCTGAGGGGGCATCAAGCCGCCGCCAGTGTGGCCCATCATTCTACCGGGGTCGTCCATGGGGGCACCAAAACAGCACTAGGAAATGGACGCGCTTGACAGCATACGTAAACAAAGCGGGAGGATGTTTGCGGGATGGGTAGTAGAAGCGCAGGCGCCGGTGGAAGAATTTTATGGATCTTAGCAAATGGGGGATTGGAGGAGGGGGAGATTTATGGCCTTTGGATGATATTCAAATTTTGGCACGGATTGGAAGTTGGGAAGAATTTACGAAAACGGGAATCGTTCATTTTTCTCACTTACACACGTATTGCGTAGTAAATGAAAGCAAATTACGCCGTTTAGAGATTAAAACAACAAAATTCTTGCTAAATTTTTAGTGTTGAACGTTTCTATAATTTTTAAAAAAATGTCAAAATTTTTGATTAAACAATCAGCACTACCAACTGTAGAAGAGTCTTCCATTGACTTAAAAAACACTAAATTACAATTTTCAAAAAACTAATCTTTTTAGCAAAAAATTATCAACTGTCATTATATTCCCTCTTGTTTTTACATATTTTTGCTGCAAATATATTGAACGTTTTCATACGAAACGAAATAAACATTTAATTAAGATGTAGTCACGTGACCTGAACTAATGACGTTGATTGGTTCCCGACGCGTTACGTGGCTTAATCCCCGCTCCTAATTGGTTATAGTGAAAAAAAATGCCTAATTAAAATATTTATTTGGCGTAAAATTACAATTTCTTAAAACTTAATCCCAGTATTTGATAAGTCCGTCCCACCCTGCTGTCACTAACTTACTCGGCTCGTGTGGATGCCATAACACACTGATACAAACATTATCGTGTGCTTTCCATTTTTTATACAATTTTGTGGTTTTCCAATCCCAAATGTAACACTTGCCATCGGCGTCACCCGATACTAAATAACTACAAAACATGGTTGAAAAACAGTCACGTTAAAAAAAAACAAACCTCAAATCTGGCGAAAAATCAAGCGTGCAGGCATACCCGGCCACCATATGCCCTGTAAACGTCTTTTTTCTATTGATTTTGAACCGATTTAATGCCGAGAAAATGACAATTTTGTTATCCATGCTTTGACACGCCAACCATTTTCCATTAGGAGCCGATGTAACAGCAGGCATACTGTGCATAGTCGGATCTGCTATATATTTCATATCTACGGGGATGTCCCACTCCCAAACTCTCAAACTTTTGTCGTCAGAAGTCGTGACAAATCGGCGATTGTCGTCGACGAACGTGATTGAGTTAACGGCTCCTAGATGGCGGTCATACTCTTGCACAATATCGCCAGACCTTGTATCCCACTGTAAAAAAACTATGACTCTTACACCGAAAAAAAAAAGAGAAAAACATACACAAATAATTTTTTTATCGGAAGTTCCAGCAACAAAGAGGTGTTGTTTGTTCTTATCAGGGTTAAATTTGACACAATAGGGGATTTTCCGGCTTGAAAATCTTTTAACGACTTGACCAGTCTCAGTATCCCACAATTTGATGTACCTGTCGTAACCTAAAATACAAAAAATGTGATACTTTTAACGTAAATACAAAAAACATACCAGCTGAAAGAAACAATTTTCCCGAATTGTTGAAACAAATATCCCGAACAGCTTGCTTGTGGCCATAGTAGGTGCGAACTAATCTCCTCTCATTATAAACTTCCCATAACTGTAAAAATTTAATGATTTCGAAATTAAGTTGGCAACATTGAGTGAGCTACCTTAATTCTGCAATCCATGCTAGCCGACAGTAATAAATGTGCCGTTCGGGGGAACCACCGAATGGCCGCAATTCCTTTCGAGTGCCCCGTCCAGGTGTGAATATGTGCTTTCGGTAGGAAACACTTCTCCGGGGGGCTGTCTGATTTCAAATTGACACCAACATCCTGAGGGGGGTGTAGAAAACTCCTGCCTTGATAATCAACAGCATCTGGAACTGTAAAAAAATCAATTTAGAGCAAACTTCTTTGCAATAATTGTAGTTACTGTGTAGTATCGATTTTTCTTCGATTGGTTTGTCCTCTGAAGGTTTCCCCTTTTTGTTCTTTTTAGACAATAATTCATCCAACTCTGCTGCTTCCTCTTCTGAAGGCTTCATAACCCTTTGTTCGTCCACAAAGCCGCCCCAAGGCCCCAAAAACCCCTCAATATCGCTAGGGTCATTATTCTTCTTTCTTTTTCTCTTGTCTAAAGGCCTCAGTTTTGTTGATTCGAAAACTGTCTTAGCTTCGGGATTAATATCGTCACATTGACCAGTCGTCGTGACAACTTTCGTGCCTTCGGCGGCACTACCCACAGTGGGGTCCAGTGCGTAACCAAAACTATTAAACGTCCGTCTTTGGTTCTCGAATTGAAACTCATTTACATAAGCTGGTTCAACGTAGCCTGAAAGTATGTTTCTGGTACATTGTTGTTGTTGGGTTTTGAAAGGGTTCTCAGGACCCACCATGGGCGAGAACAACTCCTCGTATTTTGGGTTGAATGTCACTTCTTGGGCGTTGGGGTCAACGTGTTGAATGCATTCTTCGGACCCCTGCAAATCATTATTTCAAAAGAAGATATACAAGTGCAAATACGCACCGTGGGTAACACAACAGGGGCCGCACACACTTGTAACTTGTTTTTGACCGAAAATTCGGGATCGGGGTCCACAGACTTAACCTCTTCTTCGTCACTGTCGCCGTAATCTTGCAACGCTAACATTTTCCACAGCTGAGATACTCGAGAATCTCTTAATTGCCCAAATTGGACACAATTATTGAAATTTTCAAATTAATTTCAACACAAAATCAACAAACTAAAAACTGTCAACTGTCAAAATCACACCATTGAGCAGGGGCATCAGTCTAAAAACATTAAATTCACCATATCTGAGCTGTAAAGGTTGCCAGATTTACACCTTTTTATTAATTTATTAATATTGTGAGATAATGATTCAAATTTTTCTAATACTGTCGAAGGTTTACGTTTTTTACATAAGTCTCGCCAATTTGCTAAAAAACGTGCTTAAATGCGATAAATTAAAAATTACACTATTTTTGGTCTAATAATTCTGTATTTTTGCCTTGTTTTTAATGAATTAGGTATTTACGTCTGTGTTTACGTTCTTATCTAAAAAACATGCTAAAAGATCTAAAAAAAGCAAAAATAATAAATGGATTTTGTGTTTTCCTTTGGTTCGTTTTGCAAAAAAGTGAGGTTTTAGTTTAAAAAGGTGTCTAAAGATTTAAAAAAGGTAAAGTAACCAAACTTTGTTTTTTTGGGCTTATTTTTTTGTCAAAATTTTACGAGCTAAATCGATTCAAAAACAAAATAACATTTATTGCAAATAAAAAGTCCCTAATTAAAAAACTGAATTTAACACAAAATAAGTTAAAATAAATTTGGTAGGAAGAAAAAGCTTTTAATCTAATTTGTTAATTTTTTTGCTAGTTTTAGCACAATTTTTCGTTTTTGTCTCTACTTGTAGAACTCTTAAACGCACTAAAAATACAAAAATAATCCAATTTTTGGCCCAATTTTGTAAATTTTTGGTTTGTTTTTAACAAAATAGTTCTGTTTCTGGCTCAAAACGTACAAAAACTCGTCAAAAAAGTAAAAAAATTCAAATTATTGTGTCCCTTGAGAATTGCGCAAAAAGTTAATTTTACAAAACGTAGGCACATTGCAGGTGCATTTCTAAAAAATTATCAGATATTACTTACAAAAATTTTCACCATATCCCCTAGACTAGACCAGATGTGGTGAAATTTTACAAGACCTGGCAACATTGCCATATAGTGACGCTCTATTTCTAGAATGTGATTTACGATTTAATATAGCATTAATTTTAATAACATTTAAATCATCATAGGACACAATAAAACACAAAACTTGTATAACTTGTAAAATTGTAATTTTTTGTAAAAATTTATTAATTTGTTGGTGGGCTTTGTGCAATCTACCTAAGTTCTTCCGTCTGTAGTTTTCAAATCTGTCACTTGTCGTACTTGTCACTTGTTAACTGTCATATTTTTTGGTTATCTTCGTTCCAGTTTTAGCAAGTTTCGCCGTTTTTACTATGTTTTATGGCGTTATTAGCCAAGAAACATTGATTTTTGAGGAACTTTGATGTACATTTCGTGTTAGAAACCCTGAACAGGCACTTGACCATCAAAGTTTAAAATGTCTTCAGAACTGGACCAATGGATTGAAATAGTGAAAGATTGCAAGTATTTGACCGAAAATGACTTGAAAAAATTGTGCAGTATCGTATGTGATATCCTTTTGGAGGAGTCTAACGTGCAGCCTGTCTCCACTCCTGTGACAGTTTGTGGCGACATCCACGGCCAGGTGGGCCCTTCTCGCGCTCTGGGTCACTCTAAAGTCTTATGTTTCAGTTTTATGACTTGGAGGAGCTTTTCCGGCAAGGGGGCCAAGTTCCTGACACCAATTACATATTTTTAGGCGATTTTGTTGACAGAGGGTATTATAGTCTTGAGACTTTTACCAGATTACTGACTTTAAAAGCTGCATTTCCAAACAAAATTACTTTGTTAAGGGGCAATCATGAGAGTAGACAAATTACGCAAGTTTATGGGTTTTATGATGAATGTCTGACGAAATATGGCAACGCTAATGCTTGGAAATACTGTTGTTCTGTGTTCGATCTGCTTACTGTCGCTGCTTTAATCGATGAGAAAGTGTTATGTGTGCATGGGGGCTTAAGTCCAGACATTAAAACGGTTGATCAGATTCGGACTTTAGAAAGAAACCAAGAAATTCCACATAAAGGTGCCTTCTGTGATTTAGTTTGGTCGGATCCTGAGGATGTGGACACGTGGGCGTCGAGTCCCAGAGGGGCTGGGTATTTGTTTGGGGCGAAGGTCACTCACGAATTCATGCAAATTAATGCGCTGACATTAATTTGCAGAGCTCATCAATTAGTTCACGAAGGTTGCATTTTTTCATTTTACTTCTTGATAATTTAGTGTGTCTTTTAGGCTATAAATACATGTTTGATGATAAGCTGATAACAGTGTGGTCGGCCCCTAATTATTGCTACCGGTGTGGTAACATTGCAAGTATTTTGGAATTCCAAACCACGGATAAAGTTGAACCGAAATTATTTAACGCCGTACCCGACAATGAACGAGTTATTCCAAGTAGAAGTGTGACTCCGTACTTTTTGTAATTTTACGCCGCTAGAATCAATAAATGATTTTCAAATTTGGCGCGTTTACCTTACACTTGCGCATTGCCAACCTGACAATCCGTCTTTTTCCTAGTGACGTCTGTCAAGTGATAGACCACATTTGTGTATTTCTGTAGATATTGGAATTATCTACAGTCATCCTTATTAAATTTGACTCGAAAAATGGTTCAAAAGAAAGTAAGTGGTGCATTTGTCTTGATGGTGTTTTAATTTTTCATTCATTTGAGAAAATTTGGGCTATGGATGACATAACCTCAAAATCTTTGTTGTGGCAAATTTTAATTTTTGGTTTTAGCCGAAGAAGAAGACCGGTAAGAAGGTGGCGGCGGCCCCTCTTGCGGTGAAAAAAGTCGAACAGAAGAAAGAGGTGAACCCCCTTTTCGAAAAAAGGACGCGCAATTTTGGCATTGGTATGTATCGCCCTCTTTGGGAACACCATTCTGAGGTATTGTTAACTAGGCCAGGACATACAGCCCCCTCGTGACTTGTCCCGTTTCGTAAAATGGCCCAAATACATCCGAATTCAGCGCCAGAAGGCTGTTTTAACAAAACGACTCAAGGTGCCCCCACCGATCAACCAATTTAGACAAACCCTTGACAAGCAAACCGCAACTCAACTCTTTAAAGTCTTGGAAAAGTACAGGCCGGAGACTGAACTGCAGAAGAAGAACCGTTTGAAAGCGGCTGCTGAAAGCAAAGTAGCCAAGAAAGAGGAAGCCCCCCAGAAAAGACCCAACGTTTTGAGGGCTGGTACCAACACTGTGACCAAATTGGTTGAACAGAAGAAGGCACAATTGGTGGTGATTGCCCATGACGTTGACCCTATTGAATTGGTTCTCTTCCTCCCAGCTTTGTGCAGGAAAATGGGTGTCCCCTATTGTATCGTCAAGGGGAAAGCCAGATTAGGCCTTTTGGTCAGGAGGAAAACTTGTTCAGCTGTAGCATTAACAAAGGTACAAGAATTTTTATTGATTTTTTATATATTATTTACGGTAAAATTCTAGATTGAATCAGGCGATCGTAGCAACTTGACGAAGATTATTGAAGTCGTCAAAACCAACTTCAATGATCGTGCTGATGAGATCAGGCGCCATTGGGGCGGTGGGGTTTTGGGGTCGAAATCCGCGGCCCGTATCGCTAAAATCGAGAGGGCGAAGGCAAAGGAACTCGCCCAGAAGCAAGGTTAAGAAATTTCCTGTTATTGAATTTGTATGCAGGTCGATAAATATAATAATTTCTAAAAAAAAATGTTGTTTGTTTTGCAAATTGGGTTCCATAACGTTTTATTGTACATTTTTGAGTTTCTAGGACCTCTAGAAATGATAAAAACATTAGACGGGTCAATTTTAAAGCTCAAATCTTTTCGTCAAGTTATTGGTCGAAATCACCCACAAAAATCCAAAAAATTCGTAATTTATAATAACAATTGAAGTTTTATGCCCTTTTTTAAATCTAGAAATTTTAGTAATGTAAAAAATGTTATTTGTTCAGTTTTAAAGTTGTTTTTTGTTTTTGGTACCGAATAAAATTCAAATTTTGCGCCTATGTGCACCAATCAAAATTCAGGGTCTAATCACACGACCGCAAAAAGGGATTTTCTATTTGTTCTTACTACTTGATACCGCTTGATACGCGGTATGTTAGTGGTATGTTGAGCAGTATGACGTCACGGTATGTGTGTACAAAGCGCTAAATTTAAAATCTAGGGAGTTTGTCGCTGTTGATGTGTTGAAGTTGGGTGGTCATATTGATTGTCACTTGTCTTTACGATTTAATTCAATTTTGCTGGATTTTAATACAGAACTCATTCTAAATCAAAGTATTTTATAAAAATAAGTGCTTTAAAATCTAATTTTAGGCCAAAATGAAGCAATTTTTGCTATTTTCAATCGATTTGACCCAATTTTAAGCCAAAAATCACCCTAAAGCAAAATATTTTAACAAAAAAATGCTTAAGTAACAGTTTTCCGCCAAAATAAAGCAATTTGAGGTACTTTCAATCCAATTTTGATCGAAATCGTTCTAAATCAAACTTTATAAAAATAATTGCTTCAATCCCAATTTTACGCTGAAATGAAGCAAATTGTGCTATTTCCAATCGATTTGGCTTAACACAAGACATAAGAACAGAGGTTAGGATCTGTTGTCAAAAGCTAAACAGCTGTTTCTTACCAAGATACCGCTAAACAAGGACAGAGCACATACCTGCGCTTGAGGATGGTAAGTTCGTGTATGTTGACCGGAACATACCGTGACGTCATTGTGACAAATCGAAAACGGTTGGTATGTTGTAGTATCATGTGGTATCAACCGGTATGTACAAATAGAAAATCCCTAAAGTCACTCAATTGACATTTAGTTTGACAGATGTAATTTTTCAGTGAAATATTACAAACTTTTCCTTAATAAATAAACAGTTTGGACTATTGAGAGGGTAAGAGGAAATCGTTTTAATAAATGTGGACAAAAATGAATTGTTTTCAGACACATTCCAAGTAATGGCGGGTTGTGTCCCTTGTTTCATCATTCCCCTTTTATTATTCATATTTCACAGATATATTCAACCCATTATGTTAAAATACTGGAATCCGTGGGAAAATAAATCGATAAAAGCTGAGACTCTTAAAGAAAACAAGACAGAAACGCAAGTAAAAGGCGACGTTTTAGAAAAGAAAGAACTGTGATGAACTTTTTTTGCCTAATTATTGTTTTGTAATTAATGAATTTTAAGTAAGGTCGTTATGGTGTAAGCTATCGTAATTATTATTCAATAAAAGAGTATTCGAAATGTTACATTTTTCCTGTAAATAATATTCAGTTTAAACTAGTTAAAAAATCAAAACACAAAGTAAGTAGAATTTTCTCTAATATTTATATAATGAAATCTGCAACACATTTTCACATTACCTTCATTTTTTCAATAAAAATAATAAATCGACTTGAAAAATCTTGCTATTTAGGGAATTTTGTATTTATAGCATGTCGATTGGTACCTACCTGACAATTCAAATTGTCAAAAAATTTTTAAATCACTACGATTTTAATTTCGGAGTTTCTAAACAAACATTTACGAATTATTCAAGTTATTTGAAGATCACATTTTTGGGAAGAACTGCAAACTGCAAGAGAAATGAAAAGGTGAAAAAAATTAAAAACGTCTTATTTACACACTGTACAATAAAAAATCGTACTCATCTTAAAACTTCTAAACTAACTCAAACTTCTATACATAAAAGTCACTCGCCATGTACTTTATCAAGAAACGAATCAACGTCAATTTTCTTCAAAAGTTTTAAATTATTCTCAAAAGCTTTCGCTTTCTTTTCCGTCTGTTTCTCACTCTCGCTATTCTTCAGCTTCCTCTTCCTACCCCTAAAACCGAAGAAATAAAACCAATCAAACCTCAAAAAACCATTACCCCTTGGTCCCCTTTTCGGGCGAACTATCCCTCACATCGGCCAAAAAAACATAGTCCATAAGTTCGTCATCCTCATCGTCGAGTCTCTTCTTCGGCGTTGAGGCTTTCGCTCGGGGTTTGAGCTCAAAAATGGACTCAAAAGGGGTCCACTTTATGATCATTGTCACTTCTTTATCCAATTCGTCGAAAACTTGCGCCGACATACTCTTCTTCAAAATCTCAAAATTGTACTTGTTTAAAGCTTTCCTCTTTATCTTATCAGAATGAACCACGGATTCCAAATCTTGGTATATTTTTTTATCAAAGTTTGGACCAGATGAGTCCGATTTAGGACTATCCAAACACTCCTCTTGGTTCACTTTTTGAGGCGATTTATTTTGAACCAAGTGAATCCCTCTTTCGGCCAACCCATGAATCAACTTTTGCGCTTCCGCATCCTCCACTGCCTCCTTCTTCACACTTTTCCGTCTCCCTACTTTCGGTGTTTTCGCAGTTTTCCGGCTAGTCCGCGGTTTTCTGGCCGCTTTTGGCGGGTTTTTGATTTTGTCAATTGTGCGTTTTCGCACGATTTCTAGCTGGGTTAAAATGTCCTTTTTGCGCGCTTCCTCATCTAGAGTATCCTTCACTGGAACCTCATTGATTATGTTATTAATACTAGAAGTTTCAGTTTCTTTAACATCAGTCTTTTCGATGACAGTATGTTCGGGCGAATCTGAATCCGAATCCGAATCCGACGAACTCGAACTCGTGGGATGACGTTTCAGAAGATTCAAATTTTTCTTACCAATCACACTCTGGTTGAATTTTTTCAAAGTGGTTTGCGGTTTTTCCGGTTCGGTTACAACCTTGGCTTGCTCGATCACAACATCGCTCAAGATTTTCAAATTTGTGTGCTTCTCAGGAGGCGGTGACTTGTTATTTTCCAGTCTTTTGCACTCTTCTATCAACTGGTCTAGGGACTTGTTTTGTTCAGTGTCGGAAGGTTGGTAGTACGAACTAGATGTTGAATAATCAGTTGAACGCTGATTATAAGGACCTAAATCGCCCGGAGTCAAGGCAAATCCGGGCGTAATCGGGATTTTGGGGGTAGGCATTGATATTAAATCGACGCCCTGGAGCTGCTCCTCCAAAACCTGCGAAAATGGCGTGCAACAGTTTGTATTAGAGACCGGACCCGGAGTTTTCGGGATTGTGTCTTTGACCGGAGTTTGCATAGTTGTTGACTCTTTCTTCTCTTCAGTTTTTTCCTCCTTCTCTTTAGTTTTTTCCTCCTTCTCCTCAGTTTTTTCCTCCTTCTCCTCAGGCTTTTCCTCCTTTTCAACCTTGCTAGGTTGTGACTTCGGTTTAGGGTTTTTCTTCGTCGCAACTGTTCGTTTTTTCTTAGGAGTGGGGGTTCTATTGACACAACCTAACACCAAATTCCTTAAATCCGAATCCCAAGCCTTCTTCTTTGCTCCTTTCTTCCCGTTGATTTTCGACCCTGGCGTTGAAAAATCAAGATTGCGTACGTGAGAGGCGGCCTTGGAGGAGGGGCTTGTGAACGTGGGCGGGGCCTCGGTAATTTTCGTCGTCGCTTTGGGTTTGATCAGTTTCGTACACTTTTTCGGATTATCTGCGACAATTGTTTGATTCGTAAAGTTGGTACAACTTTCATCGTTAACAATTATAGTAGGCATTGCCATTATGTCATTCTCTGTTATGTTTTTTACTGTTGGCACGTTCACGTTTATCATTGGTTGATTATTAACGATGTAATATTGCTTAGGTGCGGCTTCAGGGGGCATTATTAGGAGCCCCCCTCCTGTGTTGAAATAAAGCGGGTTTGGGGCCATTGGGGGCGCAGCCCCTGACGATTTCAGATAAGAGTCGAGGGTGCCATCAAAAAGGTACACCTCGCCCCCATTTTGCGGTTTTGGGGGTTCGGGAGGAGGCGGGTCTGTGTTTTGTGCCGCCTCGATTATGGAACGCACGGCGTCATTGGTATGGGCGTCCATTGGGTCCCCACTTTTGTCAGCATGGTGGGCGGAGCTACTGAAAAAGGGTGGGATAAAGATGCGGCGCTTAGTTGCACTAACTTACGTGGATTTTTTTGATTGGTTGTCAAAAGGGGGCGTTCCGATAATCTCATCTATTAGTTTATTGTACACCGGGTCTTCTTCAGTCCTTTGCACCACTGTTTTAATAATAGCGTCCAGTTCTTTCGCCGCACCAGCACTGACATGTTCTTCTGTGGTATTTCTGCCAGTTTCAGGCGTATTCCTGACTATGTTAATAGTTTCAGCAATTTTCTCATGCAATTCGTGATTTTCTAACAAAGTTTGAGTTAAAACCTCAGAAACATCCATAATCTCCTCTTTATCTTTGCTTTTATTTCTTGTAGATTTCTTCTTTGGTGTTTTAGTAATTGCAGGTTCATTTTCTTCGGAATTATTCCCAGGTAGAGTGTGTGCTGGCGTCGTGTCTACTTCGCTACCAACACTTGAACTTATCACGGGGGTTGAAGTGGCCACAGTTCCCGTTTCTTTATCCAACAAGAACATAATTTGATCAACCAGTGAAGTTCTGCTATGTGTCTCGTAGTAATTGGTCTCCTCAAGTCGGCCTTGAACTGAAAACAAGTGATTGGTGCATTGAGATCACGTGTGTACGCCCCCTCACCAATTGAGTAAATCATAGCATACTCTTCAAGAAAATCAACAAGACGCATTCCAGACACACGAGTAACAAAATATTTTCCCATTTTGATATTTTGGTTGTTTTCGGTAAAATAGGGACAGTTTTTGAGGAATTCGTCAATCACTGAGTATAATTTTTCACTTTTGAGGTAACCTGAATCAAACAAAAGAATGTAAACAATAATCCCGCCAATAATAGACTCACCCAAAACTAAGGCCGCTATTTGTGGTTGAGTAAATTCCATTATTGCAAAATATCGCCCTTTAGACACTTATTTCAGTAAAATTAAAAATAAATAGAACTCCTAGTAAATTGTTTATGAGAAAGAAAAACGCAAAATATAACCTCACACTTTGCTGACGCCACTGAATTTAGAGACGCTTGAATTTAAACCAAAGAGTTTTTATTGCAATTTGAGCACAAAGCATTAAACACACTTCAAAAATAAAAAGCTCATCATTTTTAATGTAGTTTCGGCACTAATAATTTCAAAAACTAATCAAACTTCCACATAAAAACAATCCAGTAATTATAAATGACAGCATTTTGAATAAAGCGCGGGGACGACATCTGGTGCCCAATTTGGTACTAATCTAATTTTTCGAATTACTACTGAATTTAATTAAGTTAAAAATGTTTTTCGAACTGTTGAGCTAAAAGTGGATTTATTTAAGATTGTTTTTATTTTTAATATAATTTATTTAGTCGTTTTATTACAATTCGCTACATTAAGAATTCTGTGGTTGCGAAGCTCGGCTTGACGTAACACGTGTTTTGGTTTTTGGTTATAAATTACTTCAAAATCGTTTTAATCACAATTATTTAGGCACAGAAATGCCTAAATCAAAACGCGACAAGAAAAGTAAGTGTTCCACTGATAAAACTGTACTATATGGTTTGCTCTTCCAGTTTCTTTAACCAAGACAGACAAAAAGGGGCTCGCTCTCAAGCAAAAAATCGTGGAAGATGTCCGAAATTGCGTCGAGAAGTTTTCCAGTATCTACGTTTTCACTTATAGAAACATGCGAAATGAACTAATGAAAGATGTTAGAGAGCAGTGGAAGCCTAGTAGATTTTTCTTTGGAAAAAATAAAGTCATTGGTGTAGGTTTGGGTAGGAATAAAGAAGAGGAAGTGGCGGATGATTTACATAAAGTAACGTTTGATTACTTTTTGTGTATTTTTTTTTGATTTTTATTTTGCAGGTTTCACGTTGTTTGAAAGGCCAATGCGCCCTTCTTTTCACCGATTGTGCCAGAAATGAAGTTCTTGAGTGGTTTGAGAGTTACAGTTGTGAGGATTTTGCCAGATCTGGGTGTGTGGTTGATAAAACTGTAACGCTACCTGAGGGGCCTCTTAAGCAATTTCCACATTCAATGGAACCGTATTTGAGACAGTTGGGGATGCCTACGAAACTAGAAAGAGGTGATTTAGCCACATTTTAATAAATAATTTTGTTACGTTTTTTTTTAGGAGTTGTTACTTTAATAAAAGAGTTTGAAGTGTGTAAAGAGGGGGGCGTATTGACACCAGAACAGGCGAAAATTTTAGAATTTTTAGGACACAAATTGGCCATTTTTAAACTTGATTTGAGAGCGGCGTGGATCAAGGGGAAAGGGTTTGAAAGACTCGATGGGAGGAGTGAAGATAATGATGAAAATATGAATGAAGATGAAGATAATAATTAATTCTCATTTTATATAATAACTAATAAAGTTATAAGAAAACGATTTTATACTTTTAAACCTATTTTTATATGTATTATTATTTATTACTTCTTTTATAAGTATTCTTAAGCCGTATTTTGGCGCTTATCAAGTTAGACAGGGCTGCCAACGTTCGAAAAAATCAGACCACTAAAAAAATTACTCAGATTATTGAGGTTATATCAAAGGTCTGTTATTATTGTATGTGAATTATTTATTTACATACACCAAAAAAGTAAGAGCTGTATGTTTAGTTTTTGATTAAGTTTTTTAATTAATAAAGTTGTAATTATGAACGATTTTATATTCTTAAACCAAGTTCGTATTTTGGCGCTTGTTAAACTACACAGGGCCGCCAATGTTTGAAAAATCAGGTTACTCAGATTAGAGGTTATATCAACGTCAAAAGTTTATTATTATGTGAATTATTTATTTCTACCGAAAAACAGAAGTGCTGAATGCTTTAGTTTTGATTCAATTTTTTTAACATATTGCCAAAAAATTGTGTCTGTAAGTTTTGGAAGTTGTGAATTTACGTTTCAGTAATGTAAACAATTCCAGGAAAAATGTCATTGATAAAAGGGGCCGTTTCGGGGCCCAAACGCCAGTTTAAAGAAAAAATTGTACAAATTTACGAAACACTTTTTAAAGGGGAAGCTTTACCAACTTCTAATACCCAATTCTGGAATGAATTCTTTTTATTGAAGCCCAAAACTGGCTACATTGACAGTGAAATTCAAAAAATGTCTCAAGAGCAATTATTTGTAGCCAAATCAAATCTAAATTTGCTGGTGAATAGTTGTATTGAAACTCTAAACGATCAAAACAACATCAGAGTGGTTTATGCAATGCAAACACTGTGTGCTGTAATACACGCGATTTTTCGAAAATCCACAGAAATCGACTCAGACATGTTTTTGATAGGTTTTGAAAACAGTGAAGAGAAAGTCCAAGTGTTGCTTTCATCATGTCAGAGCTTTCTTGAAGGTTGATTGTATAAAAACCGGCAAAATGATTTTACAAATTGCGATTTTCCAGGTGATGTGGCTCATATCCTGAAATGTTTATCCTTGAAACTGCTCTTGATTCTCACAACTCGGACTGAAAATATCGACCAAAACACTTTAGTTGAACACGTGATGAATACATCACTTTTTGAATGTCTTTTAAAACTCCTTTGTCACAGTAAAACGCGTCAAGTGCACGGTTACGATGTTGTATTGTTGTTGACTTTACTTGTAAATTACCGAAAATACGACGCTGCCAATCCGTACGTTGTAAAATTGTCGATTTTAGATGACGAATTGGCTTTGAACGGTTACGGCCAAGTAATCACGTCATCGTTGTGCGAATTTTGTAGTCAATTTAATAGAGAATTGATRGAGAATCAGCACACCTCTTGGCTGACTTCGCTCACAACGATGGTGGGCAACATTTTCATATCSGAAGAGGGTGTTTTAAGGACGCAACAAATGAGAGCAAACAATGCGTATTTGTTGGCGTTTTATGAAGCCATTCATTTGAACAGGAATTTTATAACGACTTTGGCCCACACACAAATTGACGGGAGTTCTCCACCTTCCCCTATCAATACGCTAAGTCCTGGAAGTAGTCCGGCGGACATGACGGCTATTAACTTGAGTTCGCAGCCTTCTAATCTCTTAGTTGTATTTTTCCAATACTGGTAAGTTAATTACTAGATCACAATTTTGGAATCTCATTCTCAGTGGTTCCCCAATTCAGGATTAAGTGCACTGTGTCTTTTTAATTAAATTAACAAAATAAAACAAGTCATTTTAGTGCAAATTAAGTTTATTGTGCATCGCTCGTTCTTCTTCATACATTTTCGAACTGACAATATAATCACGTCCTACTTTATACAAAACGTAATAATTAAAAAATAGGATAAAAGTGATCGAAATAATATTGTACCAGACGATACTGCGCACCAGTAATACCAACTGAAGCAAAACCATGGCCACATGAACCGATAACAAAATACTCAACGAACAACTGGGATTTTTAAACATGAGATAAAACCTTGAATATGTCGTATTTCCCGGTTCGCTAGCATTGCACTCCCCTTGTGCTCTATACAAGTCCCTCCCGTGTTTGACTAGGGCCCCATAAGGCCACAAAGTCTCCTCATTCCAGTTATTGTTCACCAGTAACATATTTCGGGTCTCTAGTTTGTCCCAAATGCCCAAATGTAGTGCTGATCGATGCAAAATATCGCAGTAACGTAAGGACAAAATATGGGTGGCGTAAGCCACGAAACTACTCAAAAAAATAAAAATTACGTGTTGAGTGGCCCAATAAACATCGTAATGAAGGTGATTCTAAAAATTCCATAACTTATTTCTAATAAAAGATTAAACAATAAATACCTGAGCAAAACAACAAGGAATAAAACCAGTATAGTAAGCATTGACGACTGAACTGAAAAGAATCTGTTTCATCCGATTGTTGAAATTTGTTTTGAGATTTTAAACTTCTTCACGAACTTTTGAAGCATTTGAACGACAAACATGCAATGGCGGAATTGAGGACGAGTCCAAGTCACCAATTCAAAAAATGCGGTAACTTTGCATCCAAATAATATCAAATATACAAGAAATCTTCAATTGGGTAATTAATTCAGCTTTAATTAATTCAAATAACAAGACTTGCGGGAAACACAAATCCATATTATTCACAATTGGGTGATTCTGGATCACAAATGATCCTATTAAAAATCTCTTTATTGTAATTCGGATCTCTTAATGCGACAAAGTAAAAAGTAACATTTCTCATACATACTTTCACTTAAAAACTTATTGGTAAAAATATCGTTCATTTCAGTTCTATTGTAATGCAAGACACCAAGAGTGAGGCCGGCTTGAACACCGTCAAACTCTGCTTCCTCATCCTTTGTTGCATCACAGAGGACCAATACGCCAACTCCTTGATGCACGACGTGGGTCTCGCCTTCAAAGTGTGCCTCCACAAACTCCCTATGCGCCATAGAAAAGTCTCACCGGACCAGACCACCTCCTCACAGCCCCTAGTCTGCTCCCTGCTAGGTTCCCAAACAAATCGTAATGTTTGCAATTCCAACCAATCACATTTCAGACTTGTTGGTTGAATTTTTCCTCAGCCATATGATGAAGAAGTTTCCTATCGAACTCTACGTCTTGTGCATAAGCGTCCTGCAACGCATTCTTTGCTACCAGAAACGGTGCAGAATTCGACTGAACTACGTGTGGAAGAACCTGTGGGCGGCTTTACTCCTAGTATTACGGTTTCTACTCCAACACGAGAATTATCTAGCGAAAAAAATGAATATCATCGACTTGTCGATGAAAATAGTCAACATTTTTAACTTTTTCATAACGTACGGGGATACGTTTTTGCCAACACCCGGCAGCTACGACGAATTGTATTACGAGTTGATTCGCATGCACCAAATTTTTGATAACATCTACTCGATGGGTGAGTTAACGCGCCCTCTGGTGGCCACTGACATAATTTGTTTCAGGTCTGCGTTACTCGACTGTGGAGGGAGAATACAAAGACGACGCTTTAAAGCTAAACAACAGTCTGATCAACGTTCGAGCAATTATTAAACACTTTGCGCCAAAAATCGAACAGTGGCTCATTGCTGCCAACCTATCGACGCCAACCGAACAGCAAATCCTCGACGTTGTCAAAAAGAATTATGACAGTCTGACTCTGAAGTTGCAAGACTCCCTAGACCAGTATGACAGATATAGTGAGAAACCAGAACACGTAACCTTTTTCACACACATGGTGAAGACTATAGTGTCTGATACGAGTAGCAGTGTTGGGATGACGTTAGCCAACTTGCAGAAAAATGAGCTTATAAATGAAATAAAATAAAGACTTTAAGACTTTATTGAGAGTTTTCTATCCGGTTTTGGTTCCACACGTCTTCGTAAAACCTCGGGTCGCTTATTCGTAAACTCGTGCGCTTGTAGAAGTAATAATAAATCGGAGTTACTGAAAAAACTCGTCATTTTGGAACAGATATTAAGTCAACTTACGAGTCCTTTGACCGATAAATAGGATAAAAAGTGGGGTCGTCCACATAAATTTCGCCGTGTTGTTCCACTGGACGACCAAAAACCATATTTGAAGAAATATAGTCATAAAAAAGTACAATAAAAATATTAACAAGCTAACGTGGAATTTTTCATAAAGAAGGTCAATAAGACCGGCCTAAAACAATTTCGTTATTACTTGACCCGAGTTTCACAAAAATAGTTACTTGGAAAGCATAAGTTGAAAAAAATGACACAAATAGTGTCCCCAATGAGATAACAAGACAAGCACATTGAATTCTGAAAGGAAAATCTACACACGTGTGTTGTAATTAGACATTACTCACATTAGTAGTATTAAAGAAAGCCCATTATTTTGCCGCACAAGGACTGAAAATATGTTAATAAAAAAATCAACAAGAAATAGCACGGTTTGTAATGCCAGCATTACACGGTAGCGTTTTATTGTTAACTTCATGTTTTAACTTGTTTTAGTTAAAACTTTGTTACAATATGACATTTGTTTATGTTGACATTTTCAGGTTTCAGTATTGATTTTTCAGGCGTTACAAAAGCGCTCGCGCAAGACGATTAATTTCGCCATTTGAAATTAACCAAAAATAATTGTCAAAAATTGATTTTTTAATCGATATTTCGACATGAATCACGGTTTTAAATATTTAATGACTGAAAAATGTTATTTATTGATGAATTTTGTTGTCATATTTGAGCAGATACAAAGCTTATTTATTATTAGAAACTTGAAAAATTAAGACTTTAATGTGTTGTTTTTTTTAATTTTTAAACTGCAATAAAGTGATACCGTTTTAAAAGTTGTGCTTGCTTTTAATAAAAATGCTAACGTAATCAATCAGTTTACTAATTTAAGAACAGTAACTGACGTAATGGAAAGTAACAAGAGTAAATAAATGAAAATGTTGCAATTTTTTATAAAACTCGCTTCATGTTTCTCTCATCTCCCCTATGAAAAATTTGAGTCCCGCCCCCCAACCTAGAGACATTTCACTTTCCAACTCCGAAATCTAGTGACATTTGTTGTCAAGTGTTGGCATCGATGCTTGTGGGAGTTTGTTTTTGATTTTAATATAAATAGCAAAAAAATCAATTTAATAAACAAAAACTTATAGTTGAAACAAACTTCGCTGCGTGTTAACATCCAGCGTGAAACCCAATGGAATTGTGTATCCTTTTCTGAGCCCCGTGTCAAGAACACCCCCAAACGGCGTCAAAATGGGTTAAAACGAGCACCACAGTACCATGGCAGTGAGAATTTGCATCGAAATAGGACACGAGGCATCTCTCCGTACCAAAAAGACTCAAGAAGGCTTCACCCATGATTGGGAAGTGTTCGTGCGAGGTTGCGACGGTGCGGAGATTCATTATTACATTGAAAAAGTTGTGTTCTATTTACACGAGACGTTTCCGAAGCCAAAAAGGGGTACGTGACTTGTCGCACTTTGAGACGCTTCTAACTGTGTGTTTCAGTGGTCAAGGAGCCCCCATATTCCGTGAAAGAGTCAGGCTATGCGGGATTCAACCTCCCGATTGATATTTACTTAAGGAACAATAATGAGCCGAAGAAGATCAGATTTAACTATGATTTGCACTTGCAACAGTCAGGGCCCCCCATCATTAAAGTGCAAAAGGAAAAATACGTCTTTAATTCGGTCAATGACGAATTTAAAATGAAACTATTAAAAGGGGGTGCAACGGTAGTATTGTCAATTGTCGAGAGTGGGGTTAGTTTTTTGTTTTTGTCTAGATCGGAAGCTCGTCTAGTATGCAAGATGCGAGTGATAACAGATCGTCAAACGATGATAAGAATCAAATGACAAATAAACCGAAATTGAGCGGATCCGACATGAAGAAACAAAAAATCAAAATTGGAGAGCCTTGTAGGGACTTCCAGGAGTTATTTGGGTCCCCTATTAACATGTCCAAGAGCTCGGAACCAAAATTGACAGTTACCAAACCTGAGAGCAAAGGTAATTGAAATTAATTGATTAATTACTTAATTAATTTATTAAGCTGTAGAGAAGTCGCGGACGAAACACAGCCCCCATAAGGACAGTCACAAGGACAAAGAGAAATCGAAAGACAAGACCGACTCTGAGAAGAAAAATAGAGATGAAAAGAAAAAAGATAGGTCAAAAGACCATGAACGAAGTAAAGAGAGAAGTACAAAAAAATCCCCACGGCCCAAAAGTCCTAGTCCAAAAAGGTCGTCCAGTCCTCGCTTTTCTAGTCCACCGGTTTTGAAAAAGGAATCGAAACACAATGATAAAGAAAAAAGGGACAAAAATGAAGAACGAAAGTCGAAAAAAGAGAAACGGAGTAAAGAACACAAAGAGAATAAACATGGAGATGGTGAACAAAAAGTAGACGACCACAAGGATAGTAAAATTAAAAGTGACTCGAAAAAAGAGAGCACGAAAAAAAGTGAAAATCCAGCCAACTCGCCAACTCACAGGGTACGTAAATCCAAAAATTTAGTTTATTTATCCGAAACTTTTATTTTAGTTTCCGGAAACCGAAAAAAAGAAGGATAAACCGAAAGAGAAATCTTCTTCAAAAGAGGACAGATATTCGGAAAAGTACAAACACAAGAAAAAAGATAAGGAAAAGCGCGAGAAGAAAGAAGAAAAGTCGTACAAGTCTGAGAAAAAGTCTGAAAAAATTCCAACTGAAACTAAACCGAATTTATTCAAAAGTGAGCCCCCAGCAAAGAAGGAGAAAGCTTATGTTAGTCCAGTCCGGGCCACGGTCGACGACGAGTCCTCAAACAGTTCAACAACGAGTTCAAACTCGTCCCTTGTGGAGAAGAAAGTCAAAAACGAAGCGGTGAAAGTCAAGGAAGAGAAAAATCAGAAATTGAAGAAGGAAAAAGGCTACCAAGAGAACACAATCAAGTGTAAACGAAAATCGGACTCGGCGGATGTGGAGGAACCCCCGGAGAAAATCCATAAAGAGCATGGGATTAACAATAACTCGGATTTGGAGCAGGAGAGTAAGCCAGTGTTGCCAACACCGACTGAAGAGGTGAATAGTTTGTTTCTCTGGCTTTTGTAAAATTGCGCTTTTTGCAGGAAGAGGACTATTTCGGGTTGTTGCGTGACCTCCAACACAAAATAATGGGCCTCAAGGACAACTCAGATCTCCAGAAAGTCGTGAAGTTGATCGCCGAGACCGGCCGATATGAAGTATCAGCTCACACTTTTGATTTTGATTTGTGTCTGTTGGACAGGTCGACTGTTCAACAATTACAAGACTTTTTCGCGAGCGAAACTTAGTTAATTTTAGGTTGCAATATTTTGATTTTAGGACAATTCTCCAGGTTTTATTGGAAAAGTGTCATCTTCTGTTATGTACCTGTTTTAAGGAGTTTTAGAATAGTTGTTTCTCCGTCAGGAGAGTGCATTACGTTGTCAGTTGTTTTTACACATTTTATTGTACTTGTACAGTGATAAATACTATTATTTTTGTAATATTACAATTGTAGCAAGTTATGTAACCACCGTTTCATTTTTAAACGTAGATATTGTTATCTAACATATTTAAAATGTAACAAGGATCAGTGTTAAATAAGCATTACTAATTTTAAGTTTTTGACGGAACTGTTAGAATTTATTGATTTAAAGTTTTGTAATAATAACAATGCCGGACCTGTAATTTATTTGACCGTCTTAGCAATAAAAATAAGTGTAAAATATTGAATTTTTCAAAAATAATTCAGAAGAATGAACCCTTGAACGGGTTGCCTGGCCTGGTGAAAATCACCAGATATGGTGATTTTCATGCTAGTAATTTGGTGAAAATCAAAAATTTTGAAAAAATTCTAATATTTAATTCTTCAAGTAATATATGATGATTTTTCACGTTATTTAACTTGATTTTTCCATAAAATTTTCTTAAAAAAAATTGGAAAACCATCAAATTAGTTCTATTTGTTCTCTACAAGGTTTTACCTAAAATAACAATTCACTTTTTCGAATATTTTTCGTTAAAAACAAGCCGGAAATTTTACAAAATAAGCAAAAAACGCAGTTAATTTTGCCTTTTTCGAGTGTTTAAGCACGTTTTTGATAAAAACAAATATGGTGAATTTTTTTTATTGAGCTGACGACACTGACGCAACAATTTTGACAATTATAATTGAGGTTAGATTGTTTTGATTTGTCAAGTGAGTTTACAAGTATTAAAATTAATAATACACAATAATAATAATATATTTGTCACTTTTAGGGCACCATGGGTGAGCGGAAAGGCACCAACAAGTATTACCCCCCGGATTACGACCCGAAGGCCGGGGGGCTCAACAAATTCCTCGGGACGCATGCCCTTCGTGAAAGGGCTAGGAAAATCCATCTTGGGATTATTATCGTCCGGTTTGAGATGCCCTACAATATCTGGTGTGAGGGCTGCAATAATCACATAGGAATGGGGGTTAGATATAACGCTGAAAAAACCAAGATTGGGATGTACTACACCACACCTTTGTACCAGTTTAAAATGAAATGTCACTTGTGTGATAATCACATTGTTATAAAAACAGACCCTGCTGTATGTTTTTGTTGAGTTAGGAATGTTTGGTTGAGATTTATTTTTGCAGAACCTTGAATATGTGATAGTGTCAGGGGCGAGGAGGCAGGAAAACAGGTGGGACCCCACTCAGAATGAGCAAGTCGTACCAGAAACGAAAGAAACACAAAAGCGGATGTTTGATGATTCTATGTTTAAACTGGAGCATGGAACCGAGGATAAAAGTAGTTATGAGAGCTCAAAACCGCGATTAATTCATTTGTATAATAGGAATGAGTGTACTTGGGCTGACAATTATTCGGCTAACCAGAGACTAAGACAAATATTTAGAGTAAATTTGAATCATGTAACAATTTTAATTATTAATCAACTAATTTTAGGCACAAAATTGTGAATTGAAGAAGATTGACGGTCAAAATACGGCTCTATTGAAGAAATCAAGCCTGGACATTCCACTCTTAGCTGAGACTGAAGAAGACAAAAAAATGGCATCTTTGCTCAGTCTAAAATTGAAACCCAGCACGGACATTGCTCAGAATACTGAGCTGCTCAGAAAACGGATAATAGCGAGTTCTTCCTTACCGACATCGAATTTCTCCGTGAAGAAGGAACTCAAGGCTGTCAAGATTCTGAAAGAAACACCTAAAAAAGACTTAGGGATTATAAAAAGGTCAAGTTCGGTGTCAACGACCCCTTCTGTTAGCGAAAAGAAACTTAAACTAGTCAATTTAGTTGATTACGGTTCAGGAAGTGATTCTTCCGATTAATTTGTAAATAAAAATTGACATTTGTTACATCACGTGTTTTGACATTTGTTCCTCTAACCTCACTTTTTTGTGTTTTGGTTTTTCAAGACATGCCGACTGGAAATCGTCGTTTACCTCGTACTCTACGTAGTAGTATCCCATCGATGATGTCAGGCTTTGGGAGCGATATGTCACACAGCAGGTATGCCATGTTGGGGGGAGGAGTACCAACACTTCCAATATTGGAGCAAGCAGCGGCCCCTAAACACTTCCCGTTTCCGAATACACCAGTCGATGATGATTTATTTTTCGAATTTTTAATGTTTATGTTTAGTGCGATTTGTGCAGGGTTGCAGTTTTTGCACTTGTATAGGACGGTGTGGTGGTTGCCCCATTCATACAATCGCCAGGCTATGGTAGGTGTCACTCATTTAATTATATTACAAGAATGAGAGGAACTCATTTGTAGAATTTTTACTTAATTGATCTCAATTTAGTTGCATTTATTGTAATTTTATTGTCGCGACGGTTAATTTATATTGTGGGGTGTAGAATCCTTGAGAGGTCTGTGCCAGCGAAATATTTGTACCTATCCTATACGTGTTATCGGTAAGTTTACATAAATAGTAATTTTAACGTAAATAATGGATTTTTTTAGGATTATCTTGTTTGCTATACTTTTTACTCTCCTCTCATGTTGTGCTTACTTCGTGATCCAGAATCACCCAATTGTGAATATTTTGTATTTATGTTACCCGTAAGTCTTGTTACTTGAATTAATTAAAGCTGAATTAATTATCTAATTGTAGAATTCTTGTGTATTTGATATTATTTGGTTGCAAAGTTACGGCATTTTTTGAATTGGTGACTTGGAACTCGTCCTCAATTCCGCCATTGCATGCTTGTCGTTCAAATGCTTCCGAAGTTCGTGAAGAAGTCGAAAATCTCAAAACAAATTTTAACAATCGGATGAAACAGATTCTTTTCAGTTCAGTCGTCAATGCTTACTATACTGGTTTTATTCCTTCTTGTTTTGCTCAGGTATTTATTGTTTAATCTTTTAATGGAAATAAATTATGGAATTTTTAGAATCACCTTCATTACGATGTTTATTGGGCTACTCAACACGTAATTTTTATTTTTTTGAGTAGTTTCGTGGCTTACGCCACCCATATTTTGTCCTTACGTTACTGCGATATTTTGCATCGATCAGCACTACATTTGGGCATTTGGGACAAACTAGAGACCCGAAATATGTTACTGGTGAACAATAACTGGAATGAGGAGACTTTGTGGCCTTATGGGGCCTTAGTCAAACACGGGAGGGACTTGTATAGAGCACAAGGGGAGTGCAATGCTAGCGAACCGGGAAATACGACATATTCAAGGTTTTATCTCATGTTTAAAAATCCCAGTTGTTCGTTGAGTATTTTGTTATCGGTTCATGTGGCCATGGTTTTGCTTCAGTTGGTATTACTGGTGCGCAGTATCGTCTGGTACAATATTATTTCGATCACTTTTATCCTATTTTTTAATTATTACGTTTTGTATAAAGTAGGACGTGATTATCTTGTCAGTTCGAAAATGTATGAAGAAGAACGAGCGATGCACAATAAACTTAATTTGCACTAAAATGACTTGTTTTATTTTGTTAATTTCATTAAAAAGACACAGTGCACTTAATCCTGAATTGGGGAACCACTGAGAATGAGATTCCAAAATTGTGATCTAGTAATTAACTTACCAGTATTGGAAAAATACAACTAAGAGATTAGAAGGCTGCGAACTCAAGTTAATAGCCGTCATGTCCGCCGGACTACTTCCAGGACTTAGCGTATTGATAGGGGAAGGTGGAGAACTCCCGTCAATTTGTGTGTGGGCCAAAGTCGTTATAAAATTCCTGTTCAAATGAATGGCTTCATAAAACGCCAACAAATACGCATTGTTTGCTCTCATTTGTTGCGTCCTTAAAACACCCTCTTCSGATATGAAAATGTTGCCCACCATCGTTGTGAGCGAAGTCAGCCAAGAGGTGTGCTGATTCTCYATCAATTCTCTATTAAATTGACTACAAAATTCGCACAACGATGACGTGATTACTTGGCCGTAACCGTTCAAAGCCAATTCGTCATCTAAAATCGACAATTTTACAACGTACGGATTGGCAGCGTCGTATTTTCGGTAATTTACAAGTAAAGTCAACAACAATACAACATCGTAACCGTGCACTTGACGCGTTTTACTGTGACAAAGGAGTTTTAAAAGACATTCAAAAAGTGATGTATTCATCACGTGTTCAACTAAAGTGTTTTGGTCGATATTTTCAGTCCGAGTTGTGAGAATCAAGAGCAGTTTCAAGGATAAACATTTCAGGATATGAGCCACATCACCTGGAAAATCGCAATTTGTAAAATCATTTTGCCGGTTTTTATACAATCAACCTTCAAGAAAGCTCTGACATGATGAAAGCAACACTTGGACTTTCTCTTCACTGTTTTCAAAACCTATCAAAAACATGTCTGAGTCGATTTCTGTAGATTTTCGAAAAATCATGTGTATTACAGCACACAGTGTTTGCCTTGCGTAAACCACTCTGATGTTGTTTTGATCGTTTAAAGTCTCAATACAACTATTCACCAGGAAATTTAGGTTTGATTTGGCTACGAATAATTGCTCTTGAGAAATTTTTTTTAGATTTCACTGTCAATGTAGCCAGTTTCGGGCTTCAATAAATCGAATCCATTCTAGAATTGGGCCTTAGAGTGTTTCGCAAGTTTGTACAATCTTATTTTTTCCTTAACCTGGCGTTTTGACTCTAATGTTATTAAATATTTTTATTCTTTTTTTTTAATTATAAAGCTAGTTATTTGATTTTTATTTTGCATTTGTGTAATGTTTACAATAAATTCCATTGTTAGTGTGTAAGATTAAAAACGTGCTAAAGGGACGAAACGTCTAGTCGTTGATTATGGAAAACTTGCTATGTGGATCTTTACGTCCATTAAAACCAATTTTTTGTTGAATATGATTGTAATATTTTCTAGTCTTCAATTGTGATAACAAATCAAATTAATTTGGCTGCCCTAAACTAAAACACAGTATTTGTTTTTTAATTAATGTTTTAATGGGTCCAAAAATGACTTATTTCAACAGGAAATGATTTGCTCTCCACACATATTATTATTTAACTTAGAAATGTCATTTTTTAAAGGCAATTTAAGATGTGGGGGTAAAAGACCCCAAAACAAAAAATATATATAGTGCCAGATACTGTTTAATGTTTACAAATATGTACTACTCATCGCTAAAATTAAAATAAATACAATTTCAATTTCGATAAGGGTGTCCCAACGGGAGGTGATGTAATTTACACCGGGTGACTATTAATGTTTGTGACAAAAAATCTATTGGCAACACTGAATTATTGGTAATCCTTTTACGGCGCCCGTCGCAAATGAATTACAATTGCCTATAAAAGTTTGACGTTTGAATTTGAAAGTCAAGGTTGCCAAACTAAAATTTGCATCCAATTTGAGAAAAAATCACAATCATTTATAATCACCCTGTATTTTTATTTCAAAATAAAGTTTAAACATTGCCATTAAACATAGAATACAATTTCGCCTCTACTTCTTTGGCAGGAAAGCATTCTTTTACACTACATTTTCACAAAAAGAATAAAGCACAAAAAAAGATAAAATACATTAGTCATTTTGGAAATGTGTCGGCCTCCGTTTTACTTTCTTTTTTGTTTAAACATTACATTTTTTTTAATTACGAGTCAATTCTATTCTTCAAATAATTTGGTTCTGAATGAAATTTTAATAATTTTTTAATGGAATTCAAGACTGATGATAGCAGTTGATTGATTACGACATTAAATTATAAGTTGTTTACAATTGGGATAGCGAAAGTAATAGTTTTTTTCACACCTGTTTCAGTTATTTCCACTTAAAAAGTGGAGTACAATGGACGGTTTTTAAGTTTTTTAGTTTAAGTTTTATAGATACCTACCTACTGTTTTACTCTTTTTGAAAAAACAATTTTTTTATTTTTAAAGAAATAATTACTGATGAATATTTAAATGAATGTAAGTGTGAAAATAAGCCAAAATATGTAAAAAACTCATTTTTTTGAAATTGTTGTTTACTGTGTTTTGGCTTGGGACAGCCAAATTATTTCACTTTGTGCCAACAGTAGGTTTTTCAGAATCAACAACACTCATTTTAAAAGTTTTTAGATTTAAAATTGTGCAAAAACGTGTAACCCGTGCAATTTTTTAACCATTCATTTGTCTCAAAAACATGAAATATGAGCCTGCACCTCTGACGATCTGAAACAAAAAATTAAAAAAAGTCAACCAGAAAATGCATTTTTACCGCCATAAAAGTCTGTAAAGACAGGATTGAAAATTTCCCGGCTGTGAAATAGCAAGGTCTTTGAGCTCTCATCATCAAAAGTAGGAAACTTTTCTTCGAGGATTCTTTCATAATGATCCAATTGATATCAAAAGCGTTTCTTGACAATTCCCCACTCACAAGTTGCACCTCATTTCCGTGCCAACAGTAGCACAAAATTTGGAACAACATGAGAATCAAAAAACTCGTCATACTGTAAAATGCAGTACTATCGGGGGTCAACTGTATAAAAAAAACTTAAGAAAAAAACACACTAAATAACTGAACTAACCGTACTGACTTGAAACAACTGGAAACACACAATCAACAAACTAGAAATGAACTGCAAAAGCATCAAATAACTAAAATCCTCTTCGGCGTGATCACACAATGCGATCAACTCCTGGTGGTGAAAGACACATTCGTTGGCAAAATTTTCAACAAATTCCTGTGTCTTATCATCTAACAATTCGACCCGTTCAATCCCTTGACCGAAATCGTCGGGATTTTCCGCAATTGCGGCCTTTTGCGCCCTTTCGATCAACGTTTCGAGTTCCCTTTTCACGATCAAAAATTGGGCTTTGATCAGCATCATGAACCCGCAAATGACGGCATCGGCAGCCCCAATGTAGAATCCATACAGCGTCGTGCTGAAAATCTGGAATGCAAAGACGCTTTCATAAAGGGGGCTGTCGTTGTACTCGAAGGGCAACCAGGTGTCGAAGGGCATCACTTTCGTGTTGACTACAACAGTGACGTTTCCGTCGATGTAGTTGTGCTTGTCGTAGGGCCAGTTGGCGAAGGCGGCGTACAAAAGGCGATTCCCAGTCACAAAGATTGTAAAAACATAAAAGAAGTAGCCCTACGATTGAATTATTTTAAACTCTCGATAATTTGAGGCAGCGGTGCAGCGAGGAGGGGGTTTTGGGGGTTAAAACCCAGAACAAAATCAGAGTAGTAGTAGTGGTTATGAAACTAAAATTATATTTTAGAAACAATCAAATTAAACATTCGAATTTTGTATACAATTATTTTCGATGTTGTCATAACTTCAGAATTTTTACAAAACTGAGGTACCTCAAATGTTTTTGTGCGTACATACATCCCAGCGAGTTGAAAAAGTCCATTAGTGACTTTTATGGGAAAATGATGTACCCTTTTAAAACAATGATTTTACGCTACACTTTTATTAGTCGATTAGTAGCTTAGTTTTAGAAATAAGACATTTTTTTGACGAAAACATGCACTTTTTAAAAATTTATTACACAAAAATTAAGACAGCTAGAACACATTTATTCTTACTTCTGCAAAGAAGAAACTACAGAATTTAAAACTGTAACAATTTTTTGGTGTTTTGCATTTGTAAAGTGTAAAAAATTAAGAAGTTTATTAAAAGCTAAATAACAAAAAAATTGAATGGAACCCCCTATTTTTTATTTTTGCATCTAATAGATTGATAAATTGTCTATCTAAAAAAAATAACCTTTAATGTCTAGAATTAATAAATGAAAAGATATTTCACATTCAATATTAATTGTAGCAACAATGCCTATCAATATCTGAGCATTGTTGATACTATGGCAATTCCACCACGAATCACTTATCCGGAGATTGTAAAAGTCGTTATAAAAAAATACTAAATACTAAAATTCGAATTATTTTATTGTAGAAATAAAGAATAATGGATTTAGTTTAACATAAATGTGGATTATTAAGTGATATTTCTTTCATCTCTTATGCAACTGTGCAATTTTTCCCTACTGAAACAATAGTATTCTTTTTGTTTAACGTTAAATATCTTTTTAGTTAATGATTATAAACACCTAAAGTAAATAATTTTAGAAAGACAATTTAATAATTTTTTAAATGCAAGAACAATAAGTAGGGTGTTCCATTTAATTTTTTTAAGTTATTGAACTTTTCACAAACGCCTTTATTCTTTTATCTTTGCAAATGCAACACACTAAAAACATGTTACAATCTTATAGCTTGTACCTTCTTCTTTGCGGTAGTAAAAAAATATTTCTACTTGTCTTAGTTTTTGCGTAATAAATTTTTTAAAAGTGCATGTTTTCGCCAAAAAAAAGTCTTATTTTTAATTTGCTTAGTTTTAAAAATAAGACACGTTTTCGTCAAAAAAAAACGTCTTATTTCTAAAACTAAGCGAAATCGACCAATAAAAGTTTAGCTTAAAAACATTGTTGTAAAAATCTACATCCAAAAACGCAAGAGACATATGGTGTTTCATTTAAAAAAACACAAGTTTGTATTGTAACTTATTTTTGAGACACGCTGTATAGTTGAAAATAATTTTAGGCGATGGACTAGATTGGTATCTGTCAATGTCCTATATATATTTTTTAATTTTACCATTTGAAGGTCAGTAATGGACTTTTTCAACTCGCTGAGACACCCTGTATGTAAAATGCTCCGAGAAATCGATTGGCATTGAGAAAACTGCAGAATTCTTGATCATTTAGAAGTTATAGTTCAATTGATATTTTGTATATTAACGTAGAACAATTATCTTTATCCATATGATAAAAAAATAAATTTGCTTTCCAACGGTACCAAACAAAGGACTTCCGAAGTTTTTAGCAATAAACCGCTTCGGATACCGAAAATCGCTCAAAATTTCGACAAAGATCGAAAAAATTAAAAACTTCAAATTTGAACCATTGCATTGAAATTGAAATTTGAACCATTTGCATTTTGAGGGTTCACGAGACTTAGAAAAGTACATTAACCATTGTCAACACACTTTAACCGAAATTTACAAAATAATGAAAAGGTTTTATTTATTTCTATAAATTTTATTATACGTTTCATGCTACTTTTACTTTATACTTCATTTTCTTTACCTTTATTTAGTTAGTTCTATTTCACTAAGACACCTCTGTAATGTTGTTTTAAAGCTCTGGTGCTCTTATCTTTTACATACGTATGGCGTGTTTTTTCATGTTGATATGAGTGTGTTGTGAACGGACCACAATTTTTAATACTCCCGGCGAGGAGTTAAATGCCATTAATAACTTTCAATTCGATGGTTCGTTCACAATCAAACTTTCATGGATAGCTTTGACGCCAAATTTAAAAAATTACCCGTTATTAAAAAACAGTTTCAGTTTTATAAAGTAGTGTTTGACTGTTAAATCGTTTCATTGAATACAATTTTGTTTTTCCATGGCGGTCTTTGTTACAAATAAAGTTCTTTTATTTGGGAAATAAACGTAAAAGAAAATGTGAGAGATCAAATTTGGCCAAGGTTTTTGAAATTATACGGACCTAAGATTTTTGACTTTAGTTAACTTTTTAACGTATTTTGACAACACATTTGCGAATCAGATATAAATGTCGTCAAAATCTGATAGTGTGAGTTCTACACGGGGGCGAGCGGCAAAGCTGTGAGCCCCCATAATTTTTATTTTCTACACAACATTTTCGAATCCGACAGGATTTAATATCAGTTTCTGGTCTGTTACTAAAAAGCTATCTTAAAAACATCCGTCATAAAGGCAGTTTTTTGAAATAACGTTTAAATGAGTGCCCGAAATTTTTTATATAGGTAGAATAAACCCCCTCCCCCCCCTTCGACACTGAATTTGAGTCTTACTTGTCGGTTGCATAAGGTTATCGCATCGTTGACTAAGGCGAGCTCCTCGGCTCCGCCTCGGGCCGGATTCGGTCTGAAAATCCCCTGTTCCAGTGTGGTGAAGTAGCCCCACATTTTCTTCCGCAAATGTAACATCACGAACATTTTAACTGTGCCTAAAGCGTGGGTGATGCAGCAACAAAGTGCGAAAGTCAGCTTGTAGATGTCTTGATAATTTATCACCATGTCGAGGAATTCGGTTGTGGTGAAAAGGCACATCGTGCCGATTATAAGGGCAGAGTAGGTGTAAAATAGGCATTGGGGGATGCTTTGGATTGGGAGGACGTCTATTCCGAGTATTTGAAGCACTGTTAAGTGCACTTTGAGGTAGACAGGGGGGATTTCTTTGAGGTCTTTCCTTCCCGACATTTTAGTTCAACTATAGTTGACTTTTCTCCATTTCCGATTTAAATAGGTGAAATTAAATCTAATCACTGTAATTTTTGTTCGACGTAAAGTTTCAAGAGAGTTGTAATTGTACTTCTAGACTGGTATTAGGTGACAAAGTTTTAGCTGAAAGTGTTGAATAATTAAAGAGCGATTTATGAAATAAGGTTTTGTTAAAACTGATTTTATTGACTGTAGATTTAAATACAAAGCGATAAAAAAATCCTTCTGCCGTGTGGTACCTAACTAGATGTCAAAAAAAGATTTTATAAAATTCAAAATACTAATCTAAAATGCATTCCAGTCCAAATTTAAGTTATGTTGCAAGCCTGAATGTCACTAACTAGTCATTTCCAAACTGGTATGCATATTTCATTTTTGATTTGAAAGTTCATGAGCAAAATACCTATTTTAAATTAAATATTATTTATTATTAAAATTATTATTAAAAATTACTTTCATAATTTTCCACCGCAATTATTAAAGCGATTTTACACAGATTTGACAGTTTTGTTAGCAAATCAGTCCTTTAGTATAACTTACACACTGCTCAATTTAATTTCCAGCCGATTTACATAGCTAAATTAAAAAAAAAATTGACCTTAACCGGGAAAAAAATTCTTAAATGAGATGTTTTTGGTATTTTCCAACATTAACAAAAGAACGCAAACTTTCAAGTTGATTTGTCAATTTTATGAAATAAAATCATAATCAATTTAATCTGTATAATTTGTTTTACGCAAATAAATTATCATAAATTAATTAATTGATTAAACCATAGACAATTATTCAAAACTATAATTACTTAATGTACTTTTTTCAAAAATGCGAAGTGTCACAACTTTATTGACGTGTTAATCGTTGCAGGATTGTCTAATTTTAGTGGTCAAATCACTATTTTCTATTTTGCGTGTTACAAGGCTATTAACGAACTCGTTTGGGTGCGTTAACAGCCTAGAGTATTTTTTGTTTTTAATGTTGGTGGGCTTGAGAATTCATTTAGATTACGCACAATGACAAATGTCAGTAGTTTGAGTTGAATTTTCCAACGCCTTCATGAATCACACTGCTATACGTGTGTAACCAACTGACGGAAAATTAAAGTTTGACGTTTGAGTTTGAAAATGAAGGTTGCCAAACTAAAATTTTAAATTTTTGACACCAACTTGAGGTAAAAAAATCACAATCATTTACAGTCAGCCGATAAAAAATCCTATCTTGTCATTTTCAAATTTCTTCGTTTCCATTATTTTGGCATTTTTTTTAAATAATGACACAATTTGATTAATTATTATTCCAGAAACACATGTATTTGCATGTATTTTTTATTTTGCATTTGTGCAAAACTATTAAAACATTTCAAAGTTGTTTATAACAATTTTAATGCTAGTGTTGAAAACCTGCTATGTGCATTTTGACGTCGGTTGTAATTATCAAATTCGTTTATTGTGAAAGAGGTGACCGATATTCTATATAATTATTCAAGGAGATTTTTGCCTGCTAAGGCCTTGTTATTACATTCCAGGGCAGAACTCGAAATAATTCGAGCCCGCACATTATGTTTGATTCTAGTCCTTTTTAATCTACAAGTAAATCTCACCTCAAAGAATAACTCTTTACCTAATATTTTTATAAACATGATGAAACTTAATAAGTAGGTATACAGTATGTCCCCGGATTGCGTTAACAAAAGGATTTTTTTTATCTTTTACGCCAAAACTGCAAAGGAAAAACATTTTTTGCTTCACTTGAAACGAGCAAATCTGTACTTAAAACTTCATTATTCTGATTCAGTGAAAAGAAAAGTTAATTTTTCTCTTGATTTTCAAGTCCTGTTACATTGGCGGTTTTTATTTGACAACTAAGTATATGCCACTTTAACAATTCATTTATTAATTAAATAATGATAGTTCTTGTAAAAAATGACTTTGTTTATTATCTTAAAGCTGTTTCTTTGAGTTGCTATTTATCAAAATTATGTTTTTTACAAACATTTTTGTTATTTAACTTGCGAAAACTCATTTGTCAAAGTGACATCATTGTCTATTTATTTATTATTCTAAAGTCCAAAATCAGGAGAAAAATGGACGCTTCTTTCTACTGAGTTAGAATAATGAAGTTTTAATTACAGATTTGCTCGTTTCAGATAAAGCAAGAAATGTTTTTCCTCTGCACTTTTGGGGTAAAATCAGAGATAAAAATTCTTTTCTTCTTGTCAATTTAATCCGGGGACAATAAGTTTTATTGTTGAAGTTAAAAAAAGATTGTAAAATATTTCAGGAGGTAATAGTATGGACCAAAACATTTATTTGTAATCTGTTCAAACAAAAAAGAGAAGCGCTTCTAGTCAAAATTCTAAAAATTTTCACATTTGATGTATCCGAAACCGTTACTTTGCGGATCCCTGTTTATTAAAATTTTTTTGTTTCTTTTAGTCCATACTTATTACCTCTTTAAATATTTTACAATCTTTTTTAACACCCTGTATACTACATTACAACAATGACTACGGGTTTGAGGTTTATGGTGGTTGTTTAATTTTAGAAAATAAGCATAATTATATTTTCTTATGCTTCTAGAAAGCTATTTTTTGTTCTACATGATAGTTTTTGTTCTGCTTTTTTTTTCTAATTTTCTAAGTAAATACAATTTTTGCACATAGTAGTTTTTTTAATCAATGACGATATTGCAAAGTTCATTTTAAACGTTCATTTGTTTCAAAAACATAAAAAATGAGCCTGCACCTCTGACGATCTGAAACAAAAAATGAAAAAAGTCAACCAGAAAATGCATTTTTACCGCCATAAAAGTCTGTAAAGACAGGATTGAAAATTTCCCGGCTGTGAAATAGCATGGCCTTTGAGCTCTCATCATCAAAAGCAGGAGACTTTTCTTTGAGGATTCTTTCATAATGATCCAATTGATATCAAAAGCGTTTCTTGACAATTCCCCACTCACAAGTTGCACCTCATTTCCGTGCCAACAGTAGCACAAAATTTGGAACAACATCAGGATCAAATAACACACCATACTGAAAAACTCGACACTACCGAAGGTCAACTGTCAAAAGCAAATTCTCGCAAAAAGGAACATTAAACAAGAATTCAACTAACCGTACTGACTTGAAACAACTGGAAACACACCACTAGTAAACTACAAATAAACTGCGAAAGCATCAAGTAATTAAAATCTTCTTCGGCGTGATCGCACATTGCGATCAACTCCTGGTGGTGATAAACACAATTGCTGGTTAATTTTTTAACAAATTGTTGAGTCTTCTCATTCAATAATTCGACCCGTTCAATCCCTTCGGCGAAGTCGTCCTTATTGTCCGAATTTTCCGCAATTGCGGCCCTTTGCGCCCTTTCGATCAACGTTTCGAGTTCCCTTTTCACGATCAAAAATTGGGCTTTGATCAGCATCATGAACCCGCAAATGACGGCATCGGCAGCCCCAATGTAGAACCCGTAGACAAAAGTGCTGAAAATCTGGAACGCGAAGACGCTCTCATAAAGGGGGCTGTCGTTGTAGTCGAAGGGCATCCATGTGGCGTAGGGCATCACTTTTGTGTTGACGATAACTGTGACGTTTCCGTCCATGTAGTTGTGTTTGTCGTAGGGCCAGTTGGCGAGGGAGGCATACAAAAGGCGGGCTGTTATGACAAGGAAAACAAAGGTGTAAAAGAAGTAGCCCTACGAAAGAATTATTTTAAACACTCGCTGTATTTGGGAGTTTTACTTGTCGATTGCACAGGAATATCGCATCGTTGACCAATTCGAACTCCTCGACTCCGCCACGGGCCGGATTTGGTTTGAAAATCCCATTTTCCAAGGCCGTCAAGTAGCCCCTCAGTTTTTTACGCAAATAGAACATTAGAAACATTTTTGCGGTGCCTAAAACATGGGTCACGTAGTAACAAAGGGCGAAACTCAGCTTGTAGATGTCTTCGTAGTTTATCACAATGTCGAGAAATTCGGCTGTTAGGAAAAAGCACATCGTGATAAACATAAGGACAGTGTAGATGTAAAATAAGCCTAGAGGGATGTTCTCGACTGGAAGAATATCGATTCCGAGCCATTGAAGCACTTTTAGGTGCACTCTCAAGTAGTTAGAAGGGATTTCTTTGAGGTTTTTCGTTGTGGTCATTTTGGTTCAACTGATCGGTTTTTCGCTATTTTTGGTTTAAATACGTGAAACATTGGGGTAATCACTGTAATATCTGTTTTACGTAAAGTTTCAAGGGGGCTGTAATTGGTACTTCTAGACTGGTATTAAGCCAGAAAGTTTCAACTCATGTGTTTAATAATTGAAAGGTGATGTATGAAATAAAAGTAGGTTTAGGTTCGTAAAACTGATTTTATTGTCTGTACATGTCAATTAGATACATTTTTTGTATAAACAGACTAGACTGTATTTACTAGAAACAAGAAAACTTTGTATAAAAAAGTGTAAATAGGAGATTCAAATCCATTAAGTGGCCCAAATGGAATTTTCCGGTACAATATTTCTGCTACTAGGACGGAACACTTGATTTTTTTGTGTGTCAAACAAATTTAAAATCCAACATTAACAACAACGGTTTTATTGTCAATTTTATAAAAATATCAAATTTCAATTGATTTGTCAATAGTTGCAGCGTGAAAGTGTCAAACAAAAATACTATCCATGAAAGTTTTATTTGGACCACTCTGTATACACTTTCTCGGGAAGCTTGTTTTTTCTACTCAAGGCACTTTGTAAAATATGGCCTTATTTGTCTTTACCTAACATAAAAAAGAAAATAAAGAAACAACAATCTGCCACTGGAACAAAAAATTTGGTCCCTAGCTTTGATCTATTTGGTTTAATAAGACTAGTTAGTAAAGACTGACTATAGACTGTTCTACAATACAATAACAAGCGTAAAAACAAAAGAAACCCGGTAAAGACAAGATAACATCGAGGCAACCTAACTAACTACAGGGCTGTTTTGTAAATAAACCAAAAAAGAAAAATGCCAAGTAAGGTAGGACATCTGGAATATTAAAAAAAAATGTTTAAATAATTCTCTGTCAAAAAATGCTGACATTATATTTGACATTTTTTATGTCTATTTGATGATATTGATGATCTTGTATATGTTTTTTCATAATTATTCAATAATCGTACAAAAACTTTGTAAATAAAAGCTACAAATAACGTTAAATTACAAAATTTAAACTCTCATAACTTCGAAATTTTTATAGATAGATTTTTTTTAACATTTTTTCCATGATCCTGGTATCTCATTTTACTTGTCGTTTTCCGTTTTTACTCTGTTTACAAAACACCCTGTATTATTCCAGCCAAAACGAAATTTTCGGCCGGTTTAAATCAGGCACATGATAGCGGAAGCCGCTTCTAACTTAAAACTGTATACGATACTTGCTCGTTGTCGAATCGGTGGAGCTCTTGCTGTCCCGCCCTAATGACCCGCCTCTTCTCATCGCTCCGCCTCCGAAAAGCCTGACTTTTGAGGGCGTTGGCAAGGAACTGGCCGAGTTATCGCTTAGTGTAGAGGCGGAGTCTCTTTCACCGCCGCTTCTTGATCTCTGATTGGTCGGTTTGCGGAGCGAAGCGCTCGAACCGCCGCTCTCCGACAGCCTCCCGTACTCGCCCAGTTTTCGGGGCGGGATTAACGACCGCGCCGGTGACGCCCTCCGACTACTAGCATTGGAACTGAGCGAATCTCCACCGTCTGACTTCTTTCGGGGCGGAGTCTCGCCTTCGGCTAGCCTATTGTAGTCGCCGAGACGGCGCGGCAGACCACTGCGGTGGGAAGGGCGAGGGGGACGCGGCAGCGAGCTGGGGGCGGGGCAACGCGGAGAGGAATCGGCAGTGTCTTGCATGCGTTGCTGCTGGGAGGCACGGCCTTGTTTCTCCAATAGGAGCATCGCGCCCGGCTCGTACATCGCAACTCCGCCCCCAGCGCCGCCGCCGGTCACACCCGCCAATAGTGGCTTGGGTATTTTTCCTTTTCTCTGCGCAGTGACTGGATTAGTGAATCCTGGAAAACAGCAAAGACCCCGCTGAAATGGAGAAGAGAAAAGACAGAGTTGGGATGTTGTCCGGGATCTGCGTGAAGTGTTAGTCACACGGCACGCCACAAGGCAGCCATGCAGGGAGGGGCAAGGGCGGGGCTTAGTGGCGGAAGGAGGGAAGCTTAACTTAAAACACTCGACCATTCAGAAAACGGTTTTTATTGGTTTAAGGGCATGCCAACTCGACAAACATACATGCAACATTCTAACCGGTCTGGGCGATATTTACAAAAAAATAATTAAAAATAAATAAATAAAGATAAAACAAAATACTGCACGTTTCAGCTCAATAAAAACATTTGTATCCACGTAACGCTTCATTCAAAAACATTATTATTTTTATTAAAGTGACTTGTGATTTTGAAATTCAGTTGGCAACATCGAATTGACTATAAAAGTGTGAGGTTTGAATTTGACAGTTTATGTTACCAACTAATTTCAAAGTCATAGGACACTTCGATCGGAAATTTAAATTAAAAATCTTAATTTGGCAGCATTGACTCACAAATTCAAACGTCAAACTTTTATAGGCAATTGTTATTCATTTGCAACGGGCAAACGCTGCCTTAATCGTCCAATAATTCAGTGTTGCCAATAGATTTTTTTGTCTCAAACATTTATTGCCATCCGCTGTGTAGATCATAATAATTTATTTTTCAACAGAATGCTAGTAATTATTACTTTGATTTCATACTTTATCAAATACCACCTTGAGATAAGAATGACCCATTTCAATGACGTCAATAATATTTATTTCACGACTTTTTTTGTAGACTGAATTATGAGTTATGACACTAGATAATTATAGTTAATTATGTTTGTTTTATTCTTTTGTGTTTAATGGAATGATATCTTATTGAGCTGAAATCGGATAAACTCCTAGTTCCAATTTTTTTCCTCCTGCCTGAAGCACTTGTTATAGCATTAATGTAAAAAATTGAAACTATTTGCCACAATTGTCTTGGTTAATAACAAACTATTATGTACAAAGGGAAAACTAAAATAAACCAAAACTAAAAACAAAATCAGAAACCGACTCACTATTTGACTTGGTAAAACATCCAGTTCTGTACATTTTTTTAATCATTTTTTTTTTTACCCGAAACATGTACAGAACAATTTCAGTCAATAGAACGTCTCAGTCTCTCCTACCTTGCTCAACAGTTGCGAATCGAGTTGACTATCGATTTCTTTTAGTTGATTATCCAAACTTTGTTTCGTCGAATCGAAACTTTTATTTTCGTATTTGGTATAGGAAGGCATGTGGTAGGAAGAATCACTCCCGGCGTAGGAATTTCCCGAACCGAAACCGGTGGAACTTGTCAAGACGCTACTGACTAGGAAAAAAAAACAAAACACGGTCAAATATATAACACATCAGGGACCAATCATATTACCTAACTCCTCCCTTGACACTGCCGTTCCCAACACGTGATCGATATCAGCTCCGCCCAGACTGGGGTGGGGCGTATGGTGGGGGGACCGCCCCAGCATACTCGATACGTCCTTATCATACGTATGTTTCTGCAATACTTTAATCATGGCGTCGCGTTCGGCCAACTTCGATTCGAGATCTTTCACTCGTGATTCCAAATCAGCAACCTTCTTTTGGGCCGCATGGACTTCATCCATGTGTCGAATTTTCTCATTTCTGGCCTCGGCGATGATTTTTTCCGTCTCTTGACTCGTCTTCTCCAGGGCGGCAATCTTTGCATCCCTAAAATCTCTAAAATGAGACGAAAACCCTAAATTGGGTATAAAAATTACTTGGGGATGCTCGCCGCATCGATTGCTGCTTGTCTCAACGCACTCTCCTCTAAATACCTCTGCTCCCACTTAGTACAATCCCCCTCCAATTGCATAATCTTTTCGTCTTTCTCGCGCAGGCGCCGTTTTAATTCAGACGGTGATTCGTTACCGGAACCATTCGGGGAATCCCATCCACTCTTACCACCCTCCCCTTGCGCCAACTTCGTGCGCTGTAACTCGCGCTCGAGCTGTAAACGCAATTTGCGTTCGGTTTGCTCGCGACGATCACTCGCGAGTTGGAGCGACGACAGCGCCCTCTGCAGTTGAACCACGCGTTCGACGTACACTTGCTTCTTGCGGCACTGAAAAATCGACAAAATTGTACACCAGATGGCGCATAAATGCAACAACGTACTTCTTCCTCCAAACGGACGACATTAGCCTGAGCGTTGGTAAGTGCGGTATCTAGAATATCGATATGGGTCCTTTGTTCCTGCAGAGTGACTCGTTGCGCGGCCAACTCGATTTCTTGTCGTTCTTTCGCAGCGACATGTTCTTTGTCTATTCAACAAACAAAGTAAATAGAAAAATAAATGACAATCAACTTGTGACTTACTCTGTTGAATCAACTGAGCTATCAACACCTCCCTTTTGCTTAACTCTCTTCGGAGACAATCGGGTGAACCTGAGTCGGGGGCTGGTGACCTTGACATCATTTGGGTTGATAACAAATCAACTTGCTCACGTAAGGCCCGATTCAACTCTTGTAATCTCCGATTGTCATTCTGCAAGCGCCCTCTAGCGGCTTTTTCGAGGCGTTCTTTGCGTTCACATGACTGGACTAGCTCTTCCTGTGCCTTGTGCACTTTGAGAATTTCTTGCTCAAGCTGTAACACCCTTATTATTATCATATTTATTATTGTAATCCTTACCTTTTGTGTCTTTGCAACCCTTTTGTAGCAATTTTCCAATTCGATTTTCAAGGCACTGTTCTCCTTGATGAGTATTTCGACCATTTCGGCTGAGGGCCACAATTCCCCGCCCCCTGTTTCCGACTCCTCCCTCCCTTTTGTGGGTGGTCTCGGCGCCGACACGCCCCGTCGGAAACCATCGAAATCGGACGCCCCTTTAGGAACGCCCACTTTGGACAAGTCGGGTTGGGATTTCGAGAGTGTCAATTTTTCATTATTGATGTTATTTCGATGCACCACCGCTTGTAATGGGGATTTGTCGGCCCACTTGGGGTATTCAGGGGGCGGATTGTCGAAGGGCGAGGGAACTTTGACTTCTTTGGCTAAATGTTTGAGGACCGACGATTGGCTGAGGTAATCGTCGGGGATTTCGGTGATTTCCTGGACCCCAGTATCATAGATTCGAGTGTTTCCGTCGAAGCTCGTGCGAGGTGAAGCCGAGCTTCGCTTCTGATTGGGCGAGAGTTTGGGATCGTACAAATTCGAGGATTGGTGGGGGTGGTAGGCGTCGCCGTCCCTCACCCCGGAGTTGCGACCTGTAATGGCGATGTGAGGGGAAATCGGTCACGTGAGAGGCGTTACCTGTCCAGGGCTCATCCCCCGCACTGTGTATGATGAGAGTGTTGTAGGAGGAGGAGGAGACATCCAGTGAACTGCGGTTTGAGGGGAGGCTGTCTCGCAGGGAACTGCGATTTGAGGCTTGCTGGTTTTCCTGGCCTTGGGGCTCCTGACGGGCGGTGTGACGAATCACGTACTTTTCTTCGTTCGAGAGGTTCTCATTTGAGGTGGAAATATCAGTCTCACTACCACTCAAGCTTTGAGGAAAGGCGCTTTGAGGAGTGGTTTGGTTGAAAGGGCGGAAACGGTTGGGTTGTTGTAACGAACCCATTTAGACGGTTGTCGATGGTTTACGCACGGCACATGTGATCCGAATCTTTTATGATTGAACATCTGCCGAAAAAAAATGGAATTTTAATTATGAAAACAAAGATTGACGTAGAATTTGGACGAATTTATGACGATATTTGGTCGTATCACTTGATCTGGTCAAGAGGTTAACAATGTTTACTTTTAATTGCACATTATTGGCTGCTCTAATGCAAAAAATATTTCAAGAATTCGGTCGTCATCAGTTTGCACGAAATTACGTTATTTCAAAGGGGGTTTAAATGTGACCATTGAGGAGGTGTGGAGAAGAGAGAAAATTAGATTGGAATGTGCCAGGCAAAGAATAAACATAAAACTTTCACAAGAAATGCACGAAATTTCGCGAATTTTCACACCGAAAATGGGGCCATTCGCGGGTTGCTACTTACAAAAGTTGGAACAGACACTTGGGGGGTGATCTGAGTCAGATTCTGTGCATTTTTTGGACTTCTAAAACGAAGAAAAGACGACGAAGAGGCACTAAACGTTACAAACTTCAGCAAACCTCAATTGCTGTGTTTTCCGCTAGGGGGAGCACGAAAAATTCCTCGCGAGTTTCACATTCCATCGTAATATACAAGCTTTAGCACAAATGTTAGGCTCCACCGTTAGAAAAAAGCCAACCAATCAAAATTTCTCATATAAATTTAGAATCCAGTCTTTGCAAAACAAAACCAAAAATTTTGTGAAAATTTAAGCCGAAAATTCAAAATTGCGCGGGATGAAAGCTACTGGTATTTGATTTATTAAATTTTTGTAGAGAAAATTAAAAAAAAAAGTATTTTGAAAGGACTAGTGACTCAATTAATTTTTTGACAATTCTACAATTACCCAACATAATAAATAGTCACTCTTCACTCAATTGAACATCTTTAACAAACAACTGGTCGCATGTAAAATTTGACAGTGCTGTCAAATTACTGTCACTTGTCACTGACAGACTGTTTTGGAAATAAAAGTGGGACAAAAAGGCCCGTAAAACATATATTCCTCTACAATATTCAGAAAGTACGAACTAAATAACACCAATTACAAAATGAGTACGTACGAAATAAGTAAATCATCTGTAAGTTTTTGAGGTTGTGGTGACCCCTCTCAAAACTTTCTTTTGCAGCTCCTCAGTTTGAAAGCAGAAATTTTACGAAAACAGCAAGAGCTTGCGAAAGCCAAAGCTGAGAATGAGGTCAAAATCAGACAAATCAAGAAGAACACTCCACTGGATTTGAAAAATAAAGGTATTGAGCAAAGACAAGCCCAGGATCTCAGTGAGGAGGAAGAAAATTTGTTGAAAAAGTCTAGGTTTGTGGTTGTGAAGACTTGGTTTTGTTTTTACAATTTTGTTGTAGAGAGGCTTTAGAAGCAAAAACTAAGCTTTATGATAAGTTATCAAAGGGTGCTTCAAGACTTACAGACGACGAAATAGAATATTGTCGCCGGTATTTGGTAAAGTTTGATAAGAAGGCACGTGTTTCTGACCATTATCAGGAGGAAGAAGAAGAAGACGACCCCATTTGTGACAATTATGAGCCTCCGAAGAATCCAGATGAAGAATGGTAGTAAACTCGTCAAAAATAACATTTATAAGTTGATCATTATTTTCTAGGGTGGAATATGTGGACTGTTTAGGGCGCACACGTACTTGTCTTCGCAAAGATTTGGAATATTTAAAATCAAAAGATAAAGACTTGAAATTGATTGTTGATAAGCGTCGCAATCGCGATAAGAGCAGAAGCAGAAGTCGCAGTAGAAGCAGAACTAGATACAGGAGCAGAAGTAGAAGCAGAAGTAGGCCCAGGAACCGCACACCTTCCCCTGAAAAAGGGAACAGATCCCCCGAACTCACTGAAGAAAATGAGTTGCTTTCACCTGACATGCGACGCGAGATTTTGCGCCGTCAGTGGGAAAAAGAAGAAGAAGAAATCAGAAACAAGTCAGATATCCATTACCAAGACCTGCTCTTCAACGGTACTTTTCTTCAATTTTTGGGCTTGTTTATTGTAATGTTTTTTCAGAGGCTCGCACGCACGGTGTTGGCTACTACGGATTTTCTAAGGATGAAGAAACGAGAGCCAAGCAACAGGAAGCTTTGAAGAAACTCAGAGAAGAAACTAGAGAAAAGCAGAAGAAATCCGAGAATTTGCGAGCAATGAGAGAGAAACAAATTGCAGCAAGAGTCAGGGCTGCGATGAATAGAAAAAGACAGAGGATGGGGTTGCCGCCTCTGGAGGACGAGCCTGAGCCTACTCCAGCTCCAGTCGAAGAAGCTCCGCAAAAACAAGAAACGAATGAAAAAGAGAAGAAACTTGAGGAAAAGCGCAAGAAGCATGTCAGGCCTTGGGATTTGGGGAAAGAAGGGGTGAAGGAACACTACGAATACACGCAAGAAGAATGGGTTGATAAGAAACGGAAAGAGCGTCCGAACGAATTTGCACCACCGAAAGAATACAGAAAAGAGCGGAAGAAAATGTATGATAGTGATGAAGAGTCATCGAAATTTAAAATGAGGCAAACCACCAAAAAATCTAAACCTGAACCTATCGTAAATGAGTTGAGTGATGATGAAAATGAGAGTCGGGACAGGGGCAAAGGCGCCGAAGTGGCCCCACCGCCCACTTACGATTATTACGGCCCTGGCAAGTCTAAAAAGTCGCAAAAACGGCCGGAAGCCCCCAACGTGAGTGACTCGATCGAGGCCGGTTTGAAATTCCTGCGAGAACAGATGGAAAAGAAGCAAACTACTAGTCGCAGATCAGAGGATATCTTTCTTTCATAAATAAAACTGTATTGTTTAGTTGTTGTTTTATTTATAAATCGTCAACATATAAACCTAAATTATTGTGGAGCCCCATCGCCGGCAGGCATTGACCTAATGATGTCGGAGTCGCCGGGGTCAGTAATGGACATAGCACACACCCTGAAGTATTTACCACAGGCTGTGCCTAACTCTACATTATTTCCGGTATAGTGGTGCACCCCGGTTTTGGCCAACATGGCGTAATACTCGATCTCCGATTTGCGGAGCGGAGGGGTGTTGTTGGCGATGATGATTAGTTTAGCTTTGCCTTGTCGCAAAGTCTGAAATTTTAATATAAATACTCGAGGTAAAGAATTGCAAAAAACTTACCTTCAAAGTTTGCTTATAACCTAAGCAGTATTTGCCGGATTTCATTACAAGAGCCAACCGGCTGTTTATGCTCTCAATTGCCTTTTTCTGTTTCTTTTGGGCTACCATCCTGTCGCCTGAAATGTGAGGTTAGATTGAGATTTTTGATCAGTAGTCGCGCAAATATGTGATTTTAAGATAAAATGCCACAAAAATGTGCCTCTTAATAGCATTTAGATTGCAAATGTGTTTAAATAAACGTATTTTTTACCTGAAAAGACAGTCCACGTGCAATAACAACGGGAATAATGTGGAAAAGAAGATGGCGGCCAAAATTTTTTGAGGAATTTGCTTCTTTTTGAGTGGCAACAGTTGATGAAGTGGGAAATTTAAAATTTTTCTTATTTCTAGTATTCGCCCAAATAAAAGCAAAATGTGTGTTTTTTAAATAATATATTGTTTTTAAGTAAAGAAAACTTAAAGTTTACTTGCTAGGAAAAAATGTGTAATTATATTATAAAGTTCACAACTTTCACAAGTTCACAACATGTTATTTTTTTGTGTATTGAATAGAAAAGAATAAAAAAGTGAAGAGAGAAAAATTGTCATTTTTGTGTAGATTTGAAACAGGTTTTATGTCACAGTAATACGAGAAAATTTTGAAAATAAAACTTATAAATAATTATTATTACTAAAATGCAAGATGATTTACTTAATTTTTTTTTAAGTAAACATAAGCATAAAAAAATCAAATTTAATTTTTTATTTGCATTGGAGAAGTTAAATGTATTTAGGTTGTCAACACAATGCCCAAATTAAACTTCAAATTACTAAATTAATTTCAATTTAAAAAAATTATTCACTTCTAAAAGTTATAAAATGTTTCTTCTTTTTCTTAATATAATTCTTGGCCTCAGCCGCTAGGATTATGTAATCAAATAATGAATTTTACCTCAGATAATTGATAATACCTCAAATGACGAAATAACTCAAAAAAAATTAAGTAAAAAAATCATTTTGCCGCGTTTTTGTTACCGCGTGAATTTGACATTATGCAATACTGCCAACATATACCAAAAATACATTTTTCTTTAATATTCGAATTAAACACAATTTTAATTAACACAATTGCATCACTGCAATAATTATCACATTTTCTAATTATTGCAAATGCTCTTTTAATTAATTCCGTCTAATTCACAAATTTTGTGTCGCATTTTTCGGTCGGTAAGTCAGTTTCCTTCCTCCTTGACGGTTGCTTCATCGCGAATGTTGAAAGCCCGAGTTGTGTGTGTTTTGCTAAGATTTTAAAGAAATTTCCTGCTTCAACTCTTGATGTGAGCTCCGAATATCGTCAAGAGTGTCCCAAGCCCCGGTTTGAGCCATTTTGTGAAGTTTTTCTTTGATGAATTTGAAATAAAAAGGCCAAGTCAACGACACCAATCTCCAACCAATAGGTTGGATCGATGTTTGGCTTCTCCTTGGCCACACAGCTATTTCAAGGTTCCGCTCAACGTACTTGGAATTGTGTTACCCAATTTACGAATTTAATTTGGTACAAATTCAATCACATACGGCATCCAATCGTAAGTAAAAGTACGAATTTTTATTGATTTGGTCGAATTCTCGCTAGGATGTGGCGCCAGTTATGGTGAAAAACATGGCGGCCGCGTGTTAGAAGAAATTAATGAACTTTTCATTAATTTTTTAATAAGTGTCTAAAGTTTTGCGCAATCACTTTCATCAAGTCGCCTTAACTGTCAAAAAGTCACCAGAAACAAAAGATTTTTTCAAGTTGTTCAATATTTCCGTTTCATCATCATTTCAAATTAATTTTGCAACAAAAACACAAAAATGTTTCGATTTATCCGCCAGTTGGAAGACTTGAACCGTTTCGGGGCTCCTTCCTACCAAGTTCGTGCAATTTTTCTGTTGCAAGTTTAAACTGGAAAATTGTTTCAGATGCCCCGTTCGAGGCGAAGACACCACTCCCGGTCCAGATCCAGGTCCCGGTCGCATTCCCACGATAGAGATCGTGAACCTAAGCGAAGAAAAGTCGACAGTCTCGACAGCCCCAATCACAAGAGATCTGTCAGGTTAGTTGTCTCGTCCGCCAGATGGCGGCAGGTTCCCATATCGCCTCGTTAAAATGCAATAACACCTCGTTATGAACTTGAAAATCGTCCTTGTTTCTTCATGTAGTAACAGGAAGTGTCGCAATATCAGATCAAGGGTGTTGATGCACTCAAGGTGTGATCTAGTCAGATTTGTTCTATTTTTTCGAGTGATTTGTTGAGGTTGTTTCACTTGTCTTCACCATTGAAATTTTCAGAGCGTTAATGGTTAAGAGGTTTTTTCCGTAAAACGCTCTATTTCTGACAGGAACAATATTTTGCATTGTTTTACTTCAGTTTCCGGTCGGTGGTCCGAGTCCTTGAGGGGCGAAAGTTGTCTCAAATGTCTGGGTGAATCAATCAAACTTGACTTTTGTTTGCCAGGGATAAGTGGGTCAGAGTTCGTCATCTCAAGTCATAAATTATTAAAAAACGAAAAGATATTTTGCCATAGTTTTTATTCGAAAAAATGTAACACTTTGGCCGTCAATTATTTAAATCCTATAAATGGTGTCAAATTAAATTTGTAAGTGGGTTAGGTGTGCACTCTTGCCAAATTTCAACCTAAAATAGGATACGACCTTGTTTTTTCTCGTATGTTAAGAGTTTTGCAACATATTCAATTATTAAAAAACCCTTAAAAGGTTATCTCAATATTAAAACGAGTACGTTGATTCATCCTTTGGTTTACTCAACTTACGACTGTAAATAAATCTATAAATAAATTATTGCCAAATTGAAAGTAGGTTGTTTCGTGTTTAAGGATGTTGGGAAGGGAGAGTTTGTATCGTTAGCATAATGATAACAATAAACATGTCAGTATTTAATTTTTTTAATATAGATTTTGTACAAGGAGTTGGGTAAAAATTTTTGCATAATTAACGAGGCAATATTTTTAGTAATTAAATTCCAAATATGCGACTTACAGTTATGTAAACAAACAGATTTAACACTAAGCGTTATTTTTGTTTATTTTATTTAATTATTGCATAGCTGAAAATGGTAAATGCTTTAAAAGCCAGATTTATTATACCGGATGTGCCTACATTACTAAGATAAAAGAAAACATTGGTTTACATAATTTACAGTTATTTGGTTGTGTTTTAATACAGGGTGTTTGAGTTAATTTTTTAGGTAGTTTTAGGTGATTATTTGTTGATCCTCTACTGCTCACAAGGAAACCACAAAGCAGATAGCATATCGTATGGTCTGTTGCGGTGATTTTTTGATTGGATTAATGCCGTCCTCGCCTTGAAACATGCCTGTCGTGATTTCAAGCAAGCGAAGGTTTTGTTTTATGCAAATACCAGCAAGTAAAAGAAATTTTTTCTTTTATTTTCGAAATGATGTATCATTTTCAAAAACAAGGTTTATTAAATTTTCAAGTATCCAAGAAGTCGTCTCAAGGCTGACTATAACTAAATATAAATTAATGATAAAAGAATGGCAAGTTTAATTTTACACTTGGATGGTTTGTTAATGATTCAATAAGAGTCGATTTTCTCACGGCCACTGAAGGATTTTATCGATCGTCCGGTAGTTGTTAACAGTTAGTAGAAGGGTTATTAATCTTTGAAAAATACCGTGGGTGTCTCGGACTTATCAGTGGGAAAAAATTCGCAAAGTCATAACGTCAAGTCGGTCGAAATTGACAGTGACAGTAACGAAACGGTTTTGGCATTTGACCGTTTTTGGGAACACGAGTTTTCGCGCCCACTGAGAGATTTAAAACACGTCCCACATTCAAGAGAGGTGGGTACCGTTTTTTTTTTTTTTGATATTTTTGCCGTCTCTTGCAACGTCCTTGCTTTCGGTTTGGGTCGTTGCGCCCCACGGACGATGCACTTACGCCCACTGAAAGTTTAGTCATTGTGAAAGAAAATTATTGTCCGTTATTTCTTGTAATTTGTTTGGTGCAGAAATGGAGATGTTTTTTCGGCGCTTTGTTTCACGGTTTTGTGCAACATTCTTCTGAATTGATTCATTTTTAAAATAATTCAAAAAATTCTTGAGTTTTTCGTTGTACAAAAAATAACGCACCAACTGTTCCATTTATTTCAACGAAAGAGTGAAAACACATCAAACATTCAAAGTAAATAATTTTATATTGAAACAGTAGTCAAGATTGTTTAAAGAAAGTAGCAGAAATTTTGCTTTCTTAAAATAGAGTCTGAAGTTGTGAAATTCTAATCGAGTTATTTGTTTTTGCCATATATTTAACTTTTTTAAACTAATTTAATGAAAGTTTACATTATTTTGGGTACATCCTGAATTTTTTTATTTATTATTGTTACCAAGTTTGTTCATTTTAAAGTGTTTTTACACTTCCGGTGTTTCCGGAACTTAGTCTCTGCGAATCAGTTGTGTATTAATTAAAAATTAATTAGGAATTTAACTAAAAAAAATATTGCAGCTTTCTCAAAATTATTTTTTGGTTTGTTGTGACACAGTTTCATTGTTTTGTAACGTATTCTGTTTCGTCTATTATATAATTTTTGCCGATTTGTTTATTTTTTCCAACTTAGTCAAGCGATAAGTTTAATTTTTAATGAGTGGGTCAGCCGAAAATAGCAATTGGCAAAAGTGCGACGAATTATTTTTGTCGCAACATCGTCACCATATTTTCCGGCTGAAAAATGCATTTAAAATTCCACGCAAATGATATTTATATTTTTTCGATCTTTCCCAGTGAAATAATTTAATTTTGTAACATTTTCTCAGACAAGAACCTTGATATTATTTTAATTTTGGATCAAAAAACTAGAATGCGTCAACGATGTATCAAAAAGACAAATATATGTAATAATAATAGTGGCATTGCACTCGACGACCTTGCAATTTAGACACGAGGCGATTTTATCGATTTTTCTCCTTATATTACGTTATTGTATTATGATCACGTTGGAAATTTAGCACGTGGTCGAGGCACACATGAATATTTATTCTATAACTGTTTAGGTTGTTTGGAGATAATTAGGTTTGTTTTGATAAAAATCGTATTTTGTACGGTTGAAGGAACAATCAGGCCGTGAAATCGTAAATCTGAACGGTGTCCACTGTTTATTTCAACGGTGTGAAATTTATGTAATTTTGCACTACGGGTGACAGTTTTAGATTGGTTTATTTTTGCTTTTCTTAATTTGGTCGTCGGTTACTCACCAAGACAAATTGCTTTTTAATCTGTTGGCAATGTAGGAAATAAGAATGGCTTTGTTACTTTTGTTTGTTGCACGATGACAAAGGAGACGCTCATTTTGTACGAGATTGTTATAATAATTATTTATGAAACAAGTTTGGAAAGTGATGACTTACTGGATGAGTTGAGTAAATTTTGAAATAAAGTAGTGTTATCGACAGAGATATAAAAATTCTATGCACATAAGATTGGAAATTGTTTTAACTTTCATGAAAAAACGGAACATTGTGTATAATTTAACATAATTTAATTTGGAAAAAGTTGTGTCTAGGTAACATTTTGTGTAAAGAATGAGAAAAGCGCCAATTTCCAGTAAGGAGAAATTTCCAAATCAAGCAGTATTTTACGAGACAGTTCTAAAAACGAAAACTGATCCAATAACAAACATTTAAAAGCAGTATTTCACTAATCAGATTAATTTTGAAAGAGACTATCAAGTGCATGATTATTTTGAAAAAGTAATAAATTAAAAAAAAAAAGTGTCTACTAAAGTATTATTTGAAAATTCAATTTTATACAATAAAATACAAAATTTATTAGAGGTTGTTTTCCGCCGGTCATGATTTTTCTTCTAATTTTGTTAAATGTCATGTGCACGTCTAATCTTATCTCAACTTTGTCACGTTTTGTCGTGTGTGGGTTTCTGTTCACGTGTTTGAGGATGTTTTTCTTTTAAATCTCGTTAATTTTCTCGTGCAGACTCTTTGTCTTTGGTTACATAGGTGGGGTCGTCTCGTGTTCGTTTTCCTCCACCATTTCATCGTCGACGACGTCGACCGGTGATTGTTGAGGATCTCTGTCAGTATTATGTTCCACTCGTAGTCGATAACTTGTTCCGGATATGTTTGAATTGCGTTTTAGTGTTTGTTGTGATTATAAATTAGAAAAATTCAAAATTGAAATGAAATGTGTGGTTTGTGATTTTTTATAGATTTTTCCAAAATTATCAAAAAATTCCACTGTGCGTAAAATAATTGAGTCAGTTTCGCGCTGTTTATCGAGGATGTAAATTTATTTTATGTTTGTCTCAAGATGGTATCGCGCGTGTGTTTCACTCGTTTTTATTGCATTCGTGGTAATTTCGTTAACTTTAAGTCGAAAATTATCTGAAACTGATTATCATAAAACTTTCATTAAAAATATTATTGTTCTATGTATGGATAGAGTTACAAGTAAGAGTCTAACCTTGCCCCGAATGCGGTACGTGAAGGTCGTCAACTCGAAAATTTTTACCTTTTTCGTGCCATATAAGGTTTTGTAAGGGTCAGGATTTAATTCTATTCTCGGTAGTTTGATTTTTTTTCGGTTGGTATGGGGCAAGGTTGACTCTGACTGAATATTAAATTTTCTCTGTTAGAATCAACGCCAAATAAAATTGACCAAAGATGTGTGAAAGTGTTTTGATATAAAAACTGTGGTCAAAACTGTGATAGTTTTTGTGATAATGGCAACATCAGAAATGTCGTACGCAATCCACTATGATCTTAGTGGTTATAGTCAAGACGGCCTTCTGCAGGATTTTTCCCGTATGAGAATCGAAACGGCAAGAGAACCACCCGTTTTGTATGTAGCGATGGCGACGTGGATTCCCAAATGCAATATGTACCATAAGTATGTTGTCGATGTTGTGAAATTATTTTTGCACTTGTTTTGTAATACAAGATTTTGTGATTTGTATTTACGTTGATTTGACGTTTGTGCGGCTTAATTACTCGGCTTTACATTAAAATTTTATTTTGACTTGTTTTTTTAATGTCTTTGCGTTGGTGATATTGCCGGTAAAAAATTCGTAGGTTGTCAATAACCACCTAAGACCGAAATACCTTTTTCAGGTAGGTACATGGGAATTGTGTAATAATAACACATTTATTGTTGTTACGTGTCAACAGCGTTTTTTTCTTGTTAGTTTGTAAGTGTCTGTTTTAAGGTTGTGATATTTTGGTCTCTGGAATGGCGCTGATGACCTACAATTATTTATTAAAAACTGGAACGTCCGAGTCTGATGAGGTGTGTTTTTTCCAGTTGTGAACCTGAAATTCCTTCAACAACAGTTGAAGAACATGAAACAATGGAAATTTCAAATAATGATGTCACCTTTGAAGAACTAAACGAAACTACCGAAAAACTAGAAGAAAGCACTACTTATATTCCAAAAACAGATGAATCGCAAAGTAATTTGGAAGACAGTTCAACCACTACTCCTAGTAAAGATGTAAGTCGAAAAGAAGAAAAATTGCTTATAACTCCCAAGAAGACAATGAGTCCGAAACAGATCGAATCGGAGATGAAACGTCAACAAAAACGTCTCGAACGTGAAGAACGCGAAAAAAAGAAACAAGAGGAACGGGAACGCCTTCGTTTAGAAAAAGAAAAACAAAAACAAGAGAAAGAGAAACAGAAACAAGAAAAAGAAGAAATGAAAAAGAAGAAAAACGAGGAGAAAGCAAAAGAGCGTGAAATGAAAGAAGAACAGAAACGTAAAGAAAAAGAAGAGAAAGAAGCTAAACGTAAAGAGAAACTAGAACGTGAAGAAGCGAAACGTAAAGAACGCGAACAAGACAAACTACGTAAACAGCAAGAAATCGAAGAGAAAAATCGCGAAAAACAAAAACTCGAAGAACAAAAACAAAAAGCGGCTCAAGCATTTGTCAATTTTTTCGTACCGAAAAAGACCGAAACGAAAGTTGATGAACCGAAAACGAGTCTGTTTATGCCGTTTCAGGTGAAATCCGACATGAGGTTGGCACCATTGACACGACATATTTTGTCTGATGAAGAAAAGAATAATCTTGAGGAAATTTTGGTAAAGAATGATTCGGATGTGTTATATTTGGGAGAATTGAAGCAAGGGAAAAAAACCGGAACCTGTGGTGCTACTTGGCCCTATGAGGAAGATGTGATAATAGTTGAGGAAGATTTTGGCGAAAGTATTTGTGAAGATAAGCAAAAGAAGAAGATGAGGGCCAAATTTTTGAAGTTTCATGAGAATCGAAGACCGGCTTATTATGGGACGTGGAGGAAGAAAAGTGATGTGGTGAAGTCGCGAAGGCCATTTGGTGAAGATAAGATTTTTGATTATGAGGTCGATTCGGATGATGATTGGGAGGAAGAAGAGCAAGGAGAGTCGTTGAATGGGTCCGATGATGAGGATAAGGAGAATGAGGTTGAAAATGATGATTATGAGGTTGATAATGAGTTCTTTGTGCCTCATGGTCATCTCAGTGATGATGAAGTTGACGATGAAGCCACGTCAAAGTTGTCACCAGAGTCACATAAACAAAAATTGAAGTTGTTAAAAGACGAATTCGATCAAGATATGCAAACTAAAACTAACAAGATTAAGCCGAGGTCGATTGGTTGTATCTGGTACAAACGAGATGGGTCAAATGTTGATGAGGCAATTGATAGACATTTGAGACCGTTGGGGATTATCAGTAATGGCCAGATTGTTATCAAGAAGAGGAAAGATCTGATTGGCTATACTCCAAATCGAAAGTTTGCTAAAGAATTACGAGAGGATTTAATTCCGGTCTTTTTGAAACTTATTCATGGGAATGTTAACAAAAGAACGATGATTGTTGATGAGTTTATCAACTATATGCAAAATAATGGATACACAGTTGAAGTGTCTAAAACATATTTAGGAAAAACGTTGAAAAAGTTTGCCCAGTGGAAGAAATGTGTTGATGAAGGTCCAATGTTAAATAAATTTTGTTGGTGCGTTGAAGATGATGTTAAAAAGAAATATTTGGAGTAGTTTTAAGCATAATTTTGTATACGTTTTTCAAATATATGTTTTTAGTAAATATGAGTTTGTTTTAATTATTTTTTGCGAGTTTGGGGGGTGGGTTGAATCAGGGTGGGTGTGTTGATTGTCCTTTTTCGGGTTGCAGTAGCCAAAGGGCACACAGATCTCGTCAGTACGAGAGAGGTTCGAGTGCGGAACGTCGTTACAAGCGCAGTCATCGTCGATCTCCGACGTCTAAGAAACGCCATCGCCATCGTCACGACAAGTCGTTGTCTAGACGCAAGCACAGCCGCCGTTCATATTCGACAGATCAGGTCAGTATTGCGTTGAATTGACGATTGATTGACAGTTGGTACGCCCGAATACGGTAAGATACTTAAGTTAAGCCAAGTTAACATCCAATTCCAATATTGTTATTATTGTTTGAACTAATTCAAACGCCACCGCCATTCCCCAATAGGAAACCTTATAGAAGTCATGTGGTAGCGTCAAGGGCGTGGTTTGCAGCCACGCGTAACGTGCCGATTGGCCGATGTGAGTTTGACAGTTGAGTTGCGCGATTTTTTTTAGACAGTAATGGCGGGTGAGTGGCATTTGGCCGCCGCTCGGATTTTCGCTCAAGCTTTACCGTTTGCACCACCGTCGAAAAAAAATAGATCGATCGAGGTGCTCATTGGTTTGCGTGTGGTTTTTATCATTAACAAGAGACTAACTTTTGATTGATGAAGATAGGAAACGGTCTTCTTGTAGATAACGTGTGGTAATGCAGCGTCGGAGCGTGGGTATTATTAGACGCACGCGAGTCGGAACACAGTGGCGTGGGTAGCGGTGGGTTTATGAAATTTCAAGACACAAAGAAATATTTTTAATTTTATTTTAATTTGTCATTTCTGGGCATATAATGGAGAGGATTATTTTTATATGAGGAAACTTTTTTTAAGCTGTATTACGTGTGCCAAGTTTTATTTCAGTATTAAAAAAACACGGAGATGTTCTGGCGTTCCATTGTGACGCTTAAAAAAACAGAAAAATTAAGTTTGGTATTTACTCGTATTTTGAGGATTTTTAATGTGTCTCCAAATTGAATTTATGAACGAAGGAAAATTGATTTATTTTTGATTAGTAACATACTCATTTGAAATTAAAAAAAAAGACCAAACTAATTGATAAAAGTTTGTGTTTTGTGTTTTATTTTTACATAAATGGCAGGGCTTGTAGAAATTTATTAAAAAAGTAAATTATTTTTTTTTCTAGTATAAGCTGACAATTTTAAAATGTGTCTAAAGTTTATAGTATATGTCAACTTTCTAATTTTAATAGGGTCAATTTTTTTTATATTTTGGAAGATATTAGTTTTCTTGGTACAGACCTGCGCAATATGTCCTATTTTTACTAAAATATATTGTTTCAAAAAATTCAAAATTTCAAAAATATATTAAAAAAGTTAAAAAAAAAATATATAAAAGTTAATAAAATGTAGTTGCATGGTGTCAATAAAAAATTGACGTTAGCAATAATTTTACTAAAATTAAACAAAAAAATTAAATGAATAATGATAAAATAAATTAATCACACTAAATTACATGCTTTTCTGATTTGTTATAGGTACTTAATTATTATTGTCATTTCTTATTAAAAATTGGAAAAAAAATTGACAATATTTTCTTTTATTTGTTGCTTTTTGATATTACAATAATGGCATTTTTGACACCATGCAACTAGATTTTATTAACTTTTATATTTTTTATAACTATTACATTTTTTAAACAAACATTTTAGTAAAAGTGAAACATATTGCTCAAGGCGGTATCGCGAAAATTAATATTTTCCCAATTATGAAGAATAAATTAGGGTTTCAATTTAAAATTAGAATATGGTCCAAAATACAGGGTGCGCCAGAACTCGCGCCCCAGAGAAAATTTTCAAGTAAGGTAAGATACCAGGAACATGAAAAAAATGTTTAAAAAATTCTATCTGTCAAAAAATTTTGACGTTTATTTTTAGATATTTGACATGTTTTTATATCTATTTAATGATACTGATGATCTTGTATATGTTTTTTTACAATTATTTCGTAAAGGGACAAAAATTGTTCCAATAAATGCCACTAATAATATTAAACAGAGTTACAATTTAGGATACAGCTTCCTTGTTTCCTCTTTTAATAGCCTATAGCAAAAACAATTGGAAAATTATTTTTCCAACAGAAATAAATAAAGTCAAAGTGCAAACTTTAAACCCTCATAACTTCGAAATTTTTATAGATAAATTTTTTTAACATTTTTTCCATGTTCCTGGTATCTTACCTTATATGGCATTTTTCTCTGGGGCGCGAGTTCTGGCGCATCCTGTATACTACGACATTTAGATAAATTAAAAAATTGTCAATTTATACTATTGTAAAAATCATTTTTTGTATACGCTCCCAAAAATAGTTAATTTGCGGACTCATTTGAGTCCCCAAAATGAGTCTTTTCTGGACTCAATACAATAGTACACAAAATGCTTATTTTGCGTATTCAGTCCCCAAAAACAGTTTTTGCGGACTAAAAAATTAAATTGGTTACTTTGGTGGCGAATTTTTTTTTTATTAATAAGAGGTGTGAACTCGTGTTTTGGAAGCTTTAATAAAAAAAAAATTATATGCACCACGTACACAAAAGGTTTTAGGTGGTGACTCCTCTTATTAAAGATTCGGCTCCTACGTCGCCTCGTCATTAATTATGATTCCTTCCCTAAAACCCTATTTTGCTTACTTGATACATAAATAGGTATTAATTACTTTTTATTTTTTTTAAATCGGGTCGTAAATAGAAATTCTACAGGGTCGGTCGTTTAAAAAAAATACCTTATATAGCACCGAAACTTTTTTCTTTTAATAGAGTATCTGGAGATATTTTTAGAACGTTTCTAATTAATAAAAATTATCTTATTATTTATTATTAATAATTTACAAAATTATGTATCTTCTAGCACGTGTTACATACTTTTTTTTATGATGGGTCATCTTTCTTATGAACTTGTCGTTACGTTAAAAATAAATTTGGAACATAGAACATGTACGGCGCCACTGGTTCCTGTTCTTAAAGTCGGCGTCGAAGAATAAACCAAAGTGGAGCAATGTTAGTGCACGAGTAAAACGAAACCGTGGTGGTATGTCGTCGTAATGTTGCAATGTTTTCACGTATATTTTTAGACTGTTTACATATTTGAAAATAGAATCATAAATTGATAAGATTCAGAATAATACATCTGCGTTCGATTGTCTTAATTTATTTCAGTTACGTGAATCTTTGTGTGTGGTTGAATTAAATAAAGAAACGAGTGAAAAAATGAAGAACAACGATTTGATCGTTGGTCTTATGAAAAAAATTATTCGTTTGATACTAAAGGTCAGTTATAGTAAATTAGTTGGAAATTTTTTTCGTATGTCCGTCCGACAACGTCAACGTGCTTCTAATTTTAGCGTTTGGCAGTATTTGGCATCACCAGGGGGCAGTCTAGTGTTCAGTCGTATCCCGGATAGTTGTACTAATAACACGTCATCGCGAAATATGCCCAAGGGGCTCAATGTACGCCACCGGGTTGTCGTATAGATACCATCGTCCGGACGATAGGTATACCAATGATCCCGGATGGGATAAGAATGGTGGCGATACCACCGTCACTATGGCGGCGCCAAATTCCTCGCGTAGGACGAGATATTCGCGGTCGTCGACGACGAGTGTTGCACAATTATTAAGCGAATCGTGTTCAACACTTTTACAAAAATTAACAACGAAAGTGCGAGGACCATCAGAATCATCATCGACAACAACACCAAAAAGGAATTTCAACCCTTTATCAACTAGTAAAAGTAGTACAACTATACCTAATTTCGGCTCTACGAGAACACGACTCGAGGATAAGTATTCTAGTGTCTTAGAGAAGATTTATGGAAGGAAAAGAGACCCAGAACGGACGATTGAACCCTCACTTGCTAAAAGTGCAACCACTTCAAATGTATTGCTTTCGGAAAAATCATATCCTTATGTTAGCACTCGTGAGAAAACCCCGTATCGAAGTGATAAAAGTCGTCACAATTATCGTAAATATCAGGAACCACCGTACACCTATTTGGACCAAGACTCGGCCTATAGGGTACGTTACCGTTCGAACCATTCCGAGTTGCGTCCACGACGAGCCTCTAAACCCTTGCTGAGGACTGGCAAAAGCGAAGTTAACGATCGAAATTTGAAACTTCATCCTGTGGAAATTTCTTTTGATGATGGTCCAGTGCCTGTTCATGTCTCAAAACCCCAAGTTATCGATAACGAAACGACACCGACTCCTGCCGTTCCCGATCCGTTATCGGAACGAGAAGCCAAACGTAAAGAAATCCAAAGTCTGATTATGAAATATTCGGCGTTAGACGAGGTGTATAATCGTGGTGGTGTTAACGGTGGGGCGGTTGCGGTACCGACGAGTTCAATCTCGGCGACTGCTACCGCCATTGCTAAGAAATACCATCCGGCGGCGTCGAGATACGCGGTTGTAAGTAACGGTGTGTGAAATGGACACTAACCGAGTGGCGCTTAATTAATGTAAAGTGTAAGTCTTCTTTATTGGTGATTTATGCACCTGGTGATGGCAAATTAAAGAGGGAGGTTTTTCCATGGAAAGTTTGTGGTATTTGTGTCGGGTTTCAGTGAGTTCGGCGAATGTAAAATAAGCGATGAAATATCTGCCGAGGTGTCTTTTTGATACAGCAAAAATGTATCGTCGTTTTATAGTTGGTGGTACAGAGATGATTGTGGTTTAGCTGTTTTTGAAGGAAAAAATAGGAATAATGTGCTATGACAAATATAAAAAATGATATTTTCCTTGATTTCGAACGGATTTTTGTACCTATGGTTTGTTTTTACTTTGACCATTTGCAAATATTTTTTAATTACATACAGGATGTCCCACGAGTAAAAATGAGCCTGAAAAAATTTTTGAAGCAAACAAAATTACAATTTAAAGATAACGTGGATGTTAAAATATTTAGTTTTAGTAAATTAAACATAGTGACCAAACAGCACTTCAACTTTAATTTATAAAATGTCAAACCTTGAAGAATTTGGTGAGAATTACTAAAATGTTGACGAAAAGACCAACAAGATTGTCATTTATAAAAAAAATATTTGAAAACCCTTTTCTCAGACTGCACGTTTTTATTCAGCGCGATATCCAAATAGACGGACTTCCTAAAACTGGAGTAAAGTTATTTTGACTAATACAAATTTGTCAAAAGTAAAAATACGATATCATGTTTAACTAATTAAAACGAAATATTTTAGTATCCACGTTATCTATGAAATGTAATGTTGGTTGTTTCAAAAATTTTATCAGGCTTAATATTACTCGTGGGACATCCTGTATTAATACGTTTAATGTAATGTTTCGAAATGCTGTTGATGGACGGAGATGTGATAAAATTCTTTAATTTTTGATTATATAAAAAAAAACTAGATTTTTTTCTGTAAAGAGAAATTGAGCAGTCGATAGATGGTTTCGTTTCTTAGGGGAATTAGGCGATTAGAATTTTGTTAAAAATACGTTTCACATCATTTTACACTTGGCAAGCTATAATTTTTAACATCAAAAAGCTGTTAAAATTGTTAATAGCGCCTATAGTAGCTCGATAATTCAAAATAAAAATTGTAAAGTTGATTTTCCTAAAATTTTCATTATGTACAGTTACAGAATTAAAATTTCGGGCAGTATTTTTCTGTCACTTCAAAAAGTTTACTGTAAACTACCTTTTACTGTCATAACTGACATTTGACAATTAAACTTTTCTGTCGCTGACGCTATTTTTTAAGTCAAAATGACATTAACATGACAAGAGTAAAAAATGAGGTTATTAATGTAAAAGTTGTTTTAGAATTTACATTATGAAAATGACAATATTACCCGGATTTTTAATTCCGCAACTGTACTTACAGTCAACGTAAATTAACGTATAATTAAAAAAATATAATAATTTAAACAGTAAATTATAACGACTAACCAGATTTATTTTTTTTAATATTAATTTTGAGTAAAAACTTTATTATACATATCTGTAAATTTATGACTTATTCGTGCTTTTCTTTTTTTTTAAAACTTACACGCAGGGTGCATAAATTGTTTTGTTCACAAAATTAAATATTTATTTTTAAAATTTTAATATACAATACAAGATAAAAGTTTTGTACAAGCCTCTTGGCTTCTACTAAATTTTTGATTACTGTCATTGTCCTACTATTGTGTATAGCGGGAGATGAATACTTAATGATAATCTCAATTGATCTGCAACATGTTGATTTTTTTAATTTATGAAGTTAGTTCTTTGGTCAAACGAATTTGATTTGTTCTTGATTATTTATTAATGCGGAGTTTTTAAATTTTAATTTGATTTTAATTGTATACATAGCTTTAACTTTTTCAAGCAAGTTATGTATTTCTATTGCCACTCTATTACGTTGTTTGCATCGTTTGTGGGAATTCTCTTATTGAAACACCAAAAAAATTCTTAATTGTTATTTAATGGTAAAAATAGGATGATTACGTTAATTAATGTAAAAAATACGAATACGAATATGATAATCTGCACATGAAATGCGGGTTGTATTAAAAATTACGTATGCAATGCGTGTTTTAAATTTTATTCGCAAAAAAGATACTGCAATGAAACTCTGGCACACTTTAAAAACATATTTTGTAGTAAAGTTTTTTTGTTTTTGTGTAAGAATAATATGTACATGGGAAAGTCTCCACGTTAGATGTATTTGCGCAACCTGTGAACGTCTCATCGTTTTGCTTGTGCCGTTTTTCCCCATTCACACCGAAAATAACATTGCACAATTCCCGGCTTTAATTCTTTTTTAAAGGAAGAAGGTATATTCGGGCATGGCGGTGGCAATCTATTTTATACACACACTCTATCTTGTTTCTAATTTTTGTTATGACAATTGTTAAATTTTTGACAATATGTGTGTACCTGTAGAACACGTACCATGTTCCTCTTTTCCCTCATATACCTTCATCTGTTACATAATATTGTTCTGGTGCATAATTTGTACCCGTTAAAGAGAATGATTGTTGATTTGGCAATCCGTTTGCCCTTTCCTCTGTCTGCTTATTGGGTGGCCACTCAACTCGTCCGTTGTGTATTGGCGGCACATTGTCACGATGTCTCGATGATGATGACGATGATGATGATGACATGACTGTGATGATGATGATGACGAAAACGGTGACCTGGCCGTCCCTTGGCTGTCCGTTCCACGATGACGATGACGATGTTGATGAATGCAGAGCTCACGCGCGCCCTCAGTGGAAGACGATGAAGAAGGCCATCTCATATACCGATCGGGAGACATTCTTCAAGACCGATGTTCGTGAATACTACACTTTGTTTACACTTGGCAGTTTTAGTGGATAAGTCTTACTCTCTCAAAAAAAAACAATCTAGATTCTTAAATTATATTTCCCAATCGACTCCCATCCAGTATTCGTGATTACCTTTCTTTTCAGCGTTTCCAAAAAAAAAAAAAAACAGAGGGAGCGTTTGTACTCCCTCTATCTAAATTTAAACCATCTGAAACTTACTGTTTCATTTTTGTCATTTTTGTACTAGTTTTTTTTTTTACATCGTAAACAGTAAGTTTCTTTTTAACATCGGACAATTGGGGTATTTAATATGAAAAGTTCAGGAAAATACTGGACGATTTCAATTTAGTCATATTTGCATGCCTATGAATTAAAAAAAAAAGAGACGAAATATTAATTGTGACAAGATCGAGGCTCTACACAACGAATCAAATCTTTTTTTCTTTTTGAATGTCATTGTAGAAATGCGGATTTGTTTTGTCGAGCGCCGATCTTGGAAAGTATTTTTGTTTCTAAGCTTGTCGTTACATTACAGATAAAATACTTGGCACTCTCGGCGAAGGTACCTTTGGCAAGGTGGTTAAAGTGAAAGACCTTGAAATGTAAGTGACTAATTTTACTAAACGATCTATTTATTCATTGTGTGATTTTTAGGGACCACTCTATGGCATTAAAAATTATAAAAAATGTAGAAAAGTATCGAGAGGCTGCTAAATTAGAAATCAACGTTTTGGAAAAATTAGCCGATAAAGATCCCGACTGTATACAGTAAGTGTTTTTTTTTTTATTATCAAAATACGGTTTTAGTCGATCATTACACTAATTTTTATGGATTTTGTGACCTTTTGTAAAACTTTGTTAAGCTTTTATTAAAATATAAAATCGAGCGTAGAATGTGTTGAGATAAATATAAAACTTCTATTTTTTTAGTTCTTGAGAAATTGATGAGATATGTGATTTTTTAAATAGAAGCATAGGTGACCGTGACACCAAAAAAATACTTTTTTACAAGACTTGAATAATACTTGAGCTGCAGTTTTAAATTAAAATAAAAAAAAATTTAATGTTAAATGGCTAAATCATTGTGTTTACAAAGTAATGTTAAATTAACTGTATTTTAAAACATTTTTTTTGACTAAATGTTACTTTTTCACTTCAATTTTTACTTCTACTTACATTCTTATTGAAATTTAGATTAAATTTTAATCAATAGCTTTTGTTAATATGTCATTATAATAAATAAAACCAAGAAAATATACGAGTAATAGAGATTTTGAAAAATGTCAGGGTATTTTCTATGAAAGCTGGAACTGCAAAAACTTACTTAAAAAAATTTAATAATTACTTGAAATTTAGTCCGGATATTAGTTTTTCAGTTGAAGTTTGTTTGCTTGTGTCGTACACGGAAATGAAAAACCTCTAAACCATTAAAAATAAACCAGTCTAGTTTTTATTTCTTCATATTTTCTGCATTTTTCAACACATTTGACGAAAACTTACCTAAGCAAACGACTTTTTCACCGAAATGTTTGTTTTTACAAGTATTGGTAATAACGGAAATGTTTTTTTTTCAGCTTGTGTGTGAAGATGTTGGACTGGTTTGATTACCACGGCCATATGTGTATAGCTTTTGAAATGTTGGGACTCAGCGTGTTTGATTTTTTGGTAAAATAAATAAAACATAGTTTCGAGTTTAATCAAATATGTGGTAATTTTAGAAAGACAACAATTATCAACCGTATCCTTTGGATCAAGTGAGACATATTGGATATCAGCTGTGCTATTCTGTTAAATTTTTGCATGATAATAAATTAACGCACACTGATCTCAAGCCGGAGAATATTCTATTCGTCGATTCGGATTACGATTTAGTTTATAATAGTAAAAAGGTAAACAGAAATCAAATTTGGTAATTTTATTTCTGAGAATTGTTTTTTAGAGGAGAGACGTGAAAAGAGTAAAAAGAACTGATGTTAGATTAATAGACTTTGGGAGTGCTACGTTTGATCATGAACATCATAGTACTATAGTCTCAACACGCCATTATAGGGCGCCTGAGGTTATTTTAGGTTAGTTTTTCCTTAATTATGTGTAATTGTGCTTAATTTTTTAATTTCGTAGAATTAGGGTGGTCACAACCGTGCGATGTTTGGTCTATCGGTTGTATATTATTCGAATTGTACTTGGGTATAACCCTCTTCCAAACACATGATAATCGCGAACATTTAGCTATGATGCAACGTATTCTTGGAGAGGTTCCAGTTAGGTAAATTCGGTTAATTACCACTTAATTGTAATTAATTTGTGATTGATTTAGGATGGCACGTAAGACTAAAACTAAATATTTCTACCGTGGTAAATTAGAGTGGGATGAGAAGAGTTCAGCAGGTCGTTATGTTCGTGATAATTGTAAACCATTGACGGTAAGTCGCAAACATGTTTGATTTTGGTTTGAAGTGTTGGTTTTTCGACAGAGGTACAAACAAAGCGATGAACCGGACCACAACCAACTCTTCGATTTAATTTTCAAAATGTTGGATTATGAACCTTCCCAAAGGATAACGTTGAAGGAGGCAATGTTACATCCATTCTTTGATAAAATCGCCTCACATCAACGTCTGGGTGAACATGGCGCTGGTGACGTCAGAAGAGATAAAAGTTTGTCAATGTCGCGATGAGAAAGAGATTTCGTGTGTTTTTTGCACCAATTTCTTTATTTTGTCACAGTCATGTATTTGATTATCGGACAATAAAATGAGCTCTGTTTTTAATTCTGATTTGTACATTTTGGGTTTGTGACATGTGTAGAATGTGTATGATTCGCTATCTGATATAAAAGTTGTTCTATTTTCTACCCATCATTACACTCTATAGGTTTTATTTATAAGGGTAATTTAATGAATGTTACGAGTTATGATGTGTACATATTAAACAATAAAGATTTAATTTTTATCTAGAGTTGTTTAATCAATTTCAATATGTTGTCTTATCCCCATTTCCGTTGTTAATTTTTTTCAGATGTTTAGTGATAGCTTCTCTTGAGTCTTGTTCACGTTATAACCACAAATAGAAATGTGTTGAGTTGTAAAAAACGGTTTATGTTAAATTCACGGCCTCCTAGATGGACAATAAGATTCTGTCTCTATAAATGGAGACAGTTTTTTTTTGTTAATCTGGGAGGCTGTGGTTAAAATACGCTAAATAGATAATGAGGACACGAGGGTATAATTGGTTGCCTATATATCCATATACAAGGTGATTCACGAGGAGTAATGAGCCTGACCAAATTCTCAATGCAACCACCATTATTTTTCGCAAGTTATTTTGCAACAACTGTAATGTTGGTTGCATCGAGAATTTGGTCAAGCTCATTATTCCTCGTGAATCACTTTGTATGTTTTTTAAATTTAGCATGATCTAATTTTGCTGCGTTATTACGCCCCAACCAGTCTCTTTGCTCTATCTAATGTACAGGGTCATTCACATAAAATGTCGACTTTTACGAAAAGTGGATAATGCGTATTTCAATAACCACCTGGATTCATTTTAGACTATTAAAAAGTGGCGAAATAGTTATTTGTGTTACAGGTACCTAAAATACAGTTTTTTCGGACGAATCGTTGCTCTTTCGCCACGAGGCGAAGCCGAGTCTGGAATAGTAGATGAGTCCGCAAAAACGTAAGTACGTGTTACAAACAACATTTCTTTGTTAAAAATCTCAAAAAACGAACACTTCATTTTAATTAAAAAAATTTGCCATTATAGTAACCAAATTGACTTTTTCGTCTAAAAAAACTGAGTTTTGTGTGTTTTCAAAATTTAATATTCACTTTGAACATTGCTATTTTTTGTTCTAAATTTGAAAAAAATATACAACACTAAATTAAATGTTCTCTGTACTTATCTGAGTCTTTTGAACCTCTGGGAGTAAAGAAATGTCATTTGGTTTAATTTAATAATTTTAAATTTTTTGAGAAAAATTTAATTTTACGATTTAAATATTTTTTTTTTTCAATTAACAATTTTTTTGTAACTTTAAATAATTTTTTGCTGCATCAAGCTATTTTTTGCTGAATCAAGATATTTTTGTGACCTTAGTTAATTTTTGGTTTTATCAAGATGTTTTTCGTTCAATTTTTTTGACTGCAGGCTATTTTTTGCTCAATGTTATAATTTATAAATTTAAGTTACATGTAATCATATCACAGCTATGAAATGGCCTCTTAAGTAATGAATAATTTAATAAATAAAATAGACATGTATAAGTAAAAATTACAAAACAAAAATTTCGGCTAATAAGGCGGACTCTGAGAAGGTGCCCCGAATGCTAGCAGCATTTCCACGTTGAATTGCAAGGGAAATCTTCTCAAACAGGTATTGTTTAGCTTTTTTTTTTCGCCAGAAACAGATTTTTTGCTCAATTTTTTGTAACCACAGTCAATTTTTGCTTTTATCAAGATCTTTTTTGCTCAACTTTTTGTGATTGCAAGCTAATTCTGCTTAATTTTGTTGCATCACGCTATCTTTTGCTCAATTTTTTTATTGTTGGCAACTTTCGCTTTTATGTAGGTATTTTTTTGTTACTGCAAGCCATTTTTGCCGCATCAAGCTGTTTTTGTTCATTTTTGGTGCCTGCACTCCTTGCAGGCAATTTTTGGTTTCATTTGACTATTTTGTGTTAATTTTCTTGTGAGGTATTTTTGTCTCAATTTTTTGTTGTTTCAAGCTATTCTTTGGATACTTACCTTTTGTAATTAAAGCTTTGAGGTTATTTGGGTGTTTTTGGGTTGAAAATAATGAAACTCTGTCTAGATATGCATTATATTTAACTTTATTAATTTATAATTCTTTTATAAAGTTTCATATGAACTGGATAGCTTTCCAAAATAAATCCAAACCAATGTAAACTAATTTACCGCACTAATTAAAGTCATATATTTATATAAGTTGTAAACCTGTTTGTCTTGAATTGGATTTATTTGGCTTCGAATTAGTAATATAATAATAATCGTAATAATAATAAGAAATAGACATGACTGGAAAAGGATGTCAGTAGATTATGTAAAATTTTGAGCATTATAAGTGCCGCTCGGTCATGTCTGTGATAGTTTTTTATGAAATTTTTCATAATATAATTGGACTGTAATTCTTGTAATGTCAAAATTACAGACTACAATGTATAATTCAGATGATATATTAAAACGTTACATTGTAAAAGTAATAGTCGTCCTGCTGTAAGAAATACAAAAGACCAGCAAAATTGACAGTGTAAAAATAATAAATATGATAAACTTCATACATGGATAGAAAGTTCACGCATTCATTGTCTAATTTACTCATATGTTTTTACATTATCGTATTACAAGTTTAGCAGGTTATAAATATTAATTCAATTATCTACTATATATAATATAATAATATAATATTATGTAATAATTTTATTTTATAATAATTTTGTGTAAAATGTAATAAAACTGACATGCAACAGAGTATGGCTTGGATTATCTTATATAATTGATGGAGATTCGTCCGAATATGATAATAAACGGGTACTCGCACCCTTCTCCTGCAGACCGCATAATACTGTATACAAGCGTAGGTCCGGGGCTCCGTCCTCGCGAAGACTAAGCCCCGTTTCAAAAGCTTAAATAAGACCTATGACTAGAAATAAATAAATAAGTAACGTTGCAATAAATAACGCTATATTACAATAATTGCATCATCAAATGATCAAAAAATATATATAACGAAACACTAGACTTGACTAGACTATGTCGAGATTTTGGGCGAAGCTAAAACAACCGTTTGGTCCCAGCATAAATGTTGGGTGAAAACAAACAAACAAACAAGAAATTGGCAAGATCTCAGACTATGCAAGTTCAAACTCGAATTGTCGAAATTGAGTATGAGTACCGCCTTGGTTCCATATGCTCAACCTTAATTTTGTAATAAATGCCATACACGTTATAAATTATGACTAGAACCTACTCCCTACTCTACTCGTAGCTAAAATATATGATGATGAGTGGATGTGAGGGCTAGACTAAAACGGAAAAAAATGATTCCATGATTAAGCGCGCCTGTTGATCTTTTAGCATCTAAAATATAAAAATGGACCACCAGATCCCGACAATCACATCCTGCTGCTGTTCACGGACACGGTCAAATTTAACTTGGAACATTTACACAGATATTCTTCTTGTATCACAGAATCAAATGGGACATGGTCTTAAGTCGGGCATCGAAAAGCAATGCCCGGTGCACGAATATGATCTAAAACAGTCGGTTTGCCGCTATCCTATCAAGCAGCCCTCTAATTCTTAATTATACGTCTTAGAAACGAGTTCTGTGATTCACGTAGGTACAAATAATAAAGCACGGGACACGAAATGTCGATTTATTATTATTAGTATTTACATCATTTTTTATCATCAACTTTTGTCAGACCCATTGGACCAATTCCACCTTTGTCGGTTATATACACACAACATCGAACGAAAAAACGTAATTTTGGCAAAGAGATATGTACCCGCTCGGGCGGGCTAACTTACTCAATTTATACTATAAATTGCGATAAAGTAGAAAAATATACTTTGTTTTCTCATTTTTTATCCCATATTTATAATAATTGTTATTTACACTCTATAACAAACAATCAACGTGTTTTTTCTCTAAATTTTATTCACAAATCGGTGATTTGGCGAATGGATCGTACAACTTTGAAAAATGTCTCTCATAACCCATCTCTCCGCATAAATTTGACCATTCGTGATAGTTCAGTTCGATAACAGTCGATGTGATTGTCCGAATCTTGAATCGACAGGTACGTTCTTGCCTGCGACAGGAAAGGACCATACATTTTGTATAAAATGGTGCAATCGAATGGACCCCAATATATATACAGCATGGGATGAAATGGCTTGATAGCGAGGGTGCGGATTTACACATCCGCTGCTGACGCGGAACTATGAATACATATACTAATAGAAACACGATGACCGCCCTCTCACGATGAGAAACAGTTACACAAATAATTGCAAAAACATACCCTGTATCCTAGAATCACTTCGCTGCGTTTAGAGATTGATTATTATCCGCTCTTGTCTGATTGGGGAGACCATATTCTTGAATTAGACTAGACAGATCAGATCCGTCACCACCCAATACACCACGACTCGAAAACTTGCACGGATTTTTGCTACCAACAATCAAAACTAGCAAAAAGGCATGCACCAACAATGCCGAGCCTCCGACCCAACGCACGCGAAGAAACCAGGGAAAATTGACCCACTCCCAGGCAATATTCCCACTGTCTCTTTTTTTATTACACAATTTAGTATAATTTTCCACTGACAAAATTTTGCATAAATAAAAAAAAATGATAAAGTTTGTGAATATAAATTTTGGCAAAAAATACAAACAATTTTTCTATGTATGTTTTAAAATAAAAATAATGTATTTCTTATTTTTAGTACTTAATAAAACAATGTTTTTCAAGTACTATTTACGATTTTGTATTGTAAGGAAATAATTGTGACATAGCCCTTCCATAGAAATTATTGACGTCGGCTTTTTTTTTGAGTCAATTTTTTGATGGTCTGTTTCAAGTTTGGGTGTGCTGATTTACCCAATCATACTGTACAATTGCATAAATAAAAAAATTGATAGTTTGTGAATACAAATTTTGACAAGAAATACAACACTTTTTCAATAGGTGTTTTAATATAAAATAATGTATTTTTTCCTATTAATACTTAATAGAACAAAGTTTTCTAAGTATCACTTAGAAAGGGAATAATCGTGACATAGCCCTTCCGTAGAATTTATTGATGTCGGCCTGTTTTCTGAGTCAATTTTTTTGATGGTCTGTTTCAGGTTTGGTTGTGTCGACTTGCTCAACCACACAGGCTTGAGTTTCCCTTTCTCATAGCACAATTTAGTCTAATTTTCAACTGACATGTTTTTTACTAACAAAATATTGCATAAATAAAAGAAAATTATAAAGTTTGTGAATATGAATTTTGGCAAGAAATACAAACAATTTTTCTTTAGATGTTCCAGAATAAAAATAGTGTATTTTTACTCTTAATACTTAATACTTGCGAATTTGTTTCGTAAGGAAATAATCGCGGCATAGCCCTTCCATAGAGCTTCTTGGCGTCGGCCTGTTTTTGGGTCAATTTTTGTGGTTTTGGGTTTGGGTGTGCTGACTTGACGTTTTCGTTTCTGTTCGAGTGTGCGTCTATTTGGTGGTGTGGCGTCTCGTTATATTCGGGAGCTGCCACCCCCCCGTGGTTAGTACTTAAGTATATTTACTTCCAGCGCTGAAGGAATGTCATTAGCAAGCGTGGAATGCACTACAACTACTTAAAAAAAAACAAACTTACAAAACTTAAAGCTGTTTGTTTCAAATAGAGAAGAAAAAATAATGTGTATCAGTCGTCCTGTTAATATTGCACGATATTATCTCAGCCGAAACAAATAAATGAATAAATTAAAAAATATTCTTGTATATCTAAATACATTAAATTCAATAAATAGTATATATGTTTTTTTACTAAATATATGTCTTAGGGCTAAATTAATTCTAATCATATTAACTAGAATCCGCAGCCGTTTTTGGCTGGATAATTTGACTAGAGTGGCCCAGCCGAGTGTCTCTCCACTCTTATCTCCCGGCTTGCCTAGGGACTCCACCGCTGTGGAGTCCCGCAAAGCGTCAACTAACTCTTCAACAACTATTTGGCGAAAACGCACAATTTGCATTTTGATATATAAACTTATACATTAGATAAAATTCATAAATTGTGAACGTATTGTTCTAAAATCGATAATGACTATACCTTCATGGTATCACGACCACCCTTTTTGGCTATCCTATCGCTACCCCCTAGTAATTTACAGATTAATATATAGTTGGTACTTTGTAAGGATTATGTTACTTAACTTTAGTAGAAATATTACACTATTTTCTTTTCTTTTTATAATAGTATTGTTAAATATAAATATGTCATGGCTCCTGTAGTCAGAAGGGAGACATGGTACCGTGTGCCCCCATAAGTGCGACTCCGAGCCGAGCTGTGACTAGCAATAGCATCACAGGAGTCATGCCTGGCCGAAATTTGGCAACTGAGCAGGGGGCTGTCGCCACCGGCCCTGTTTCTTACAGATTAACACACATAAGTACAACAAATAAGAGTAGACGACGTCTCAAAATAGTAATACATTTCACGAACGAGAAGACAAAACGGCCTGTACAATCAAACACTGATTTGTTATTTAATCACAGCCCATTTGGAATTTCTCGAAATGAGGGGCGGGGGGCGCAGCCGGACTGCAGCGTGTGCTCGGAGTGTGTACCAGGCATGCTCTTTAGTTTATTATATTATATATAAGTTACAATATTCTATGTGCTTATATAAAGTGTCGTCTAGTATACTAGTGGCTGAGGGCGCTACAAGCGCCAAGAGATCTGAGGGCCAAGGTTAGTACGGCCTGTTGGCGTCCTTGGGCCTCTTCAGCTGCACTTTGAGTCGCTTCATGCCGATCTGGAAGCCGTTCATAGCTTGGATGGCTGCTTGAGCGCTTGCCGGGTTGTCGAAAGACACAAACCCTACAAAAAACAACAATGTCACTCAAAGCCTCACTTTACATTTTCTTCTTTCTTCTTCTCTTTTTACCAAATGGAAATAATTAGGGCTCGGATTATATGCACAAAAAATTCGTAAAATATGCGCATATATGTGCACGTATTTTCACAAAATATTAAAAAATATGCTCCAATATATGCCAAATATGCATCGATATGCAAAATTTTTAACAATAAAAATCAAAGTTGGGATAAATTTTTATCCTCGAATACATTAAACTTTGTATTTTCGTCATCTTGAACTGCACACGATAAATGAAAGAATAAATTAATTGGTTTGGCGTGAGACAAGCCATTTTAATAACCTAGTAATTGACCCTTTCCAAAAAATCTGTATTTTTCAGATCACATCACGTTTTTTGCTTAAAGTATTCATTTTTTGAAAAAACTAATTGATGAATTATAAAGTTTTAGAAATGTGATGTTTTATCAAAAATAAAATTTTTATTTTTTTGTCTTTGAGTTCTACAAAAATATTTATTTATTTAATTTAATTTAAAATATTTTGTATTCAGATCATTTTTTAAACTGTCCAATTTTTAACTTGAACTAAAACTTTTAATAGAAAATTAGTGATTTGAAGAAAGTATGCACAAATATGCAATATTTCCAAAAATATGCACCAAGTTACCAAAATATGCAAAATATGCATTTTTTAATGGGCTTTTTTTAATCAAAAAACATTAGATATGCATAGAAAACTTACAATTTTGTTGATATACAAAAATGTATTTTGCATATAATCCGAAATCCGAGCCTTAGAAATAACAAATTACTCATTATCGAAATTATAACTATCCTCACAAAATGATGTATTATTACCCACTGCACATTAATATGATGAGTAATAATTAATTAGTAAATGTATTTCAAATATTCATTTCAGTGATTGTTACTCATGTTAGTTTCTGAATATTACAATACAGTAAAGAATTAATATTGATTTGATTGGATTTTGAAAACTACGCTTCGTCTTCAATTAATAGAATGAGAATTATTGTCTAGATTCTAATTGTAGTAGAAAGTTGCCATTTAATTAATTCGTCAGTTACACAAATCAGCAAATGCAAATCATTTTTAGTCATTTTTACAAATTAGGTACTCTTATGTCAAAAATTTCTGTTCAGAACACACAACTTTGAGTTCAGTAAAAAAACTGAGATTTTAAATTAAAATTCCAAGTATTCAAGGCGGAATTATGATTTTTAAATGACTCAACTACAAGACTGAGAGGAAATTTGAGCCTAACGTAATCACCCATTGTAGTGGAGTTTAAAAATTGAAATTTTGCATTGTAAAAGTCAGGTTTTTAATGTTGTAAATACGAATTCAAAGTTTGAGAGTTAAGAAAATTACGTGCTTTTAAGTTAGAACTGTAAAGTTGGAACTCTTAGACTGAAAATCAGAACTTTGACTATAAAATATAATATACTCTATAAATAAATAAATTTTTTGAAGAATTATGATTGATAACAACTGTGTTGTTAGTTTGATCTTGACCTAAAATGGTCTTTGTAATATTTGCATCAGGTAAAATGTTTGATTTGTACAGTAAATAAAGTGTTTGTTTACTTTCGAAAATTGCTTTGGTTTATTGACGGTTGACAATAAAGAAATTTAATGTTGTGTTAAAATTTTGAGTTTAAATGTCGAAATTAGGAATTCTGGAAATGAAATTTAGACCTCTAAAGTTTTAAAAGTATAATAACACAGAATTTTAGATAGGATAGTCGCAATTTCAAGTTTTAAAGGTGGAATTTCCAGTAGAACTTCAATTTAGTCAAATCTAGATTGTTGTTTTGGTTTTTAAACTTACCGAAGCATTTGCTCTGATTAGTGGCACGGTCAATGAACACTTTTGAGCTGATGACATTTCCGAAGGGCAGGAACATTTGCATCAGTTCAGCGTCACCGAATTCTTGAGGTAAATGGTAGATAAACAAATTGCAGCCTTCAGGTCCGGAAATAGAGCAGCCTATCGCACAAGAAACGCAATTAATTATCATGTAATCAAAAACTTGTAAATTTCTAGTCTAGTGTAACTAGTTAAAAGTTTTTGAAAGCGTCAATTGTTCGGGTCTGGATCTCGTCTAAATTCGCACACACCACACAACACCTAATACAAAGAAAGGCTGAGATTTAGCCGATGCCAACATCCAGTGCAATTATATATAAAACACATCGAACACAAAATTAGAAGGAAGTGAAATGCAACATTTGATTAGACACTGAATTATTTATAAGGGGACATTTAGACGTTTTCTATTTGAGCTCCACTAGATCGGGATTTTGGGAATTACTAATCTTAGAATTAATTTATGTGAGCTTTTGATATCTTACCTTCCCTTTGGGCAGGAGCAACTGCTGACATAGGTTGGGGAATGGCCTGTGGGAATTGGCCATATACCGCGGGGTAAGCTGCCGACAAATATAAACAAATCACACCCATACTTTACCATCGATGCAACCAAACATGCCTCATTACGCATGTATCCAAATCTTTCAGTAACCCGGTGACAAGGTTACTCAAAAATAGGAATTTTGAGAAACGATACAGACTTCAAACAACGGCATTTACCTAAATACATTTTTAGAAATTTTGATCCGTTGCTGAATTCTGTGGAATTTTGTTGTCTAAAACTAGTTTTTTTAATCTCAATTTAATTGCAAATTTAAAATTCAAGAAGAAAAAATTCGATTGTGAAATTTTGGTGGTATAAAGGTATTTTTTGTATACGCTCCCAAAAATAGCTATTTTGCGGACTCATTTGAGTCCCTAAAATGAGTCTTTTTTGGACTCAATAAAATAGTACGCAAAACGGTTATTTTAGCTACTCAGTCCCCAAAAACAGTTTTTGCGGACTAAAAAATAAAATTGGTTTTTTTAATTAGTAAGAGGTGTGAATTCGTGTTTTGGGAGCTTTAACAAAAAAATCTTGTATGCACCACGTACACAAAAGGTTTTAGGTGACTCCTCTTAAAGACTCGGCTCCTACGTCGCCTCATCATTAATTACGATTTGTCCCTTAAAACCCTATTTTGCGTACTTGATACATAAATAGCTATTTTTCTACAAAGTATTTTTTTAGTATTTTTTCTCGAAATTTTGAAAAAGATGGGAATTTATTGGTACAGGAAAGTTATTTTGGAACTTCAAGATAATGACAAAACCCAAAATTTTTCAATTTATGCTTGTTATTTTTATTTTAAAAATGTGTCATAAAATTTAAAAATTATTAAAGAGAAAGCGGAACGTTACGTTAGAATTTAAAAATTGAAAATTTTGAGAAAAATGTTAAAAATCTTGGATAAAAAATTTTTGAAACAACTGGGAATTTTTGAAAAATTCCACAAAAAACTGAAGACTTTGAAAAGTTATAGACGAATATCTTAAGGCAAAAGGTCAGGTTTTTAAAAAGAATGTAAAAATTTAAGGTGAAATCTAGAAAAATTATAAGAATACGAAGAGATTTTGAAATAAAAATTTATGAAATTAAGAATTGTGTTAAACAACGTTTTGAAATAAATAATTAACATTTAAAATATTGTTTTGAAGTGATAGATTGTTTCCTAAAAGTACAAAAATAGAACGTTAAAATATTCTGTTTTTACAAAAACGCTTCAATTTATTTTTATTGATAATTTTACTGTTATTTGTTACAAATGTTAATTAATTAATATGAAGTTGAAAAAGATCTCGAATAACGATTTAAATTAAATTTAAAACTTAAGAATGATGTCTTGGGCAAATGCACCCCCCCAAATTAAAAAAAAATAAACTTAAATTTAGTTTTTGTTTTCGAGTTATGCGATTTTTTCTGTCAATATGGCAACTTATATGAATTTTTTTTCTATAAGATTGAAATAAAATGTAGGTAGTTGCAGAATTTAAAAACAAAACGTCACATTTTTATAGTTCTTCATCATAGATCGATTAGTTTTTTTTTCAATAAATAGTTAAAAAACGTTTGGTTTCTTTCTTATTATTAAATTTTACGTAAAATTTGAAAGATTATAATGTTTTTACAAAGAGATCCTTTTTGTGTACCTATATCTTAAAATGTTTCTTGCGAAAATTAATATCTTATTAATTTTTATAATTAATGGCTAGAAGAAGAACGGTCAATTTTTTCTAAACAAGAATTTCTATTTCTGATTATGAAATTGATTTTTGGGATTTTGAAATATAAATTTACTATAAAAACTTGATACATATAAAAAATTTGAATTCTTAAGAACTCGAAAAAGCGATTTTGAGATCTTGTACTCTCGTAAAAAAAATAAGTTTAGATTTTGCAGAATTGTTTACAAGACAACATATTTCCATCCAAAATTTCACCTGTTAAAATTTCGTCTTTCTGCCGTGTAATGATTTTTTTATGAAAAAATGAAACCAAGAATATATAAAGCAACAACATCTAACATTTCTGTGTAACACCAAACAGTTATGGGTGAGACCAAGCTACACTGATTACATCAATAATGTACACTGTTTACATCCATACAACCTAAAAGTTGTACTAGACCCAATCGTGTGTAAAAGTGCCACTTACCGACTCCTGGATATGGTTGCATTCCTGGATACGCTGCGTGCTGTAGCGCCGCTTCTCCATTAGGCAATCCTTGCGCTGGAATGGACAGATGTAGCGCATCTACATTTCAGTTAACTCGGTCCTTATCTTACTCAAAGAAAAAACATGGGCAGATTGTCCACTTTTGTACACAAATGGACAATCTGCCTTCGAAAAAAATGTCAAAAAACACTTACGAGCTGGATACGTCTGGGGGATGCCGTTCGTGTAGACGGCCTCTGTGCCCCCGGGTTGACCGTTGGGCGTCTGTGCCGCCATATTGAAAGTGGGCATGGTCGGCGATGGGAGACTCGGGATGGCGCCGTTGACCGGCTGCCCTGACCCAGCACCTACACCAACATCTACGTCAAGAAAATGCCAAATGAATACTCGGGGGACATCGACAGGGGGGCTACTTACCTGAAGTCGGCGGCACCACCGAATTCGCCATGCCGTTGAGTGTCGCGTGAGGGATTTGCGTGGCAAGGGCTGCCATCGGGTTTATGTAAGTTCCTTGTGCTGTCGCAGCTGCCATCAAAGCCGCCTGTTGCTGAAAGTCCAAAGAATGCTATAAGCAAAATGAAACACAATCGAGTCAAAGAAATTCAACGGTGTAAGGGGCAGGGATTTCGACATCTCAGAGACAGAAATGTCAACGACCCACCTTAAAGTGGTGGCCGAGGGGCCGTCAGCTTTGAAATTAGTTGCACAAATATTCAGCATTTAGGCGGAATTACTTGGAGCCACTGGAATTACTTTAGAACAACCGTTCATTCTAAAATTACTGGAATTTTTGGAAGGGTACTTGAGAATATCAATTTAGAACTAAGAAATCATTGTCGATTTTAGTACTAGTATGCTAAGCTACAATTCTAGTAGAAATATTTACTTTTTAGCCATATAACAACCTTAAAATAGCTCGATTTGTGCTATTTTCAATCAATTTGCTTCGATTTTAAACCAGAAATCAATCTAAATCAATGTGTTTTAAAAACTAATTGCTTAAATTTCTATTTTCTATTTTCAATTGATTTGGCTCAATTTTAAGCCAGAAATCAACTTAAATCAATATATTTCAACGATGTAATTGTTTAAATCGCAAAATAAAGCAATTTGAGTTATTTTCAAAGCAATTTTCCTCAAATTTAACCCAGAAAACATTCTAAATCAATGTGTTTTAACAAAATAATTGCTTAAATCGTAATTTTCGTACAAAATAAATCATTTTGTGGTATTTACAATAATTTGGCTCAATTTTAAGCCAGAAATCAACCTAAATCAATGTACTTCAAAAAAATGAATGCTTTAATCTTAATTTGTAGTCAAAATAAAGCAATTTGATCCAGTTTTAATAGATTTTTGCTTCATTTTAAGCTAGAACTTACTTAAATTAATTGTATTTCAACAAAATAATTGCTTAAATCGCAATTTTTAGCCAAAATAAAGCGATTTGAACTGTTTTTAAAACAATCTTCCTCGATTTTAACCCAGAAAACATTCTAACTCGATGTGTTTTAAAAAATAATTGCTTAAATTCCAATTCTTGGCCAAATTATAGCAAGTTGTGCTATTTCCAATCGATTTGACTCAATTTTAAGCCAGAAGTCAATATATTTTAATAAAATAATTGCTTAAATAGCAGTTTTCAGTCAGTATAAAGCAATTTGAGCTATTTGAAAAACATTTTTGTACAATTTTAACCCAGAAAATATTCTAAATCAATGTGTTTTAACAAAATAATTGCTTAAATCGTAATTTTCGTCCAAAATAAATTAATTTGTGGTATTTCCAATCAATGTGGCTAGATTTTAAGCTACAAATCACAAAATGAATGCTTAAATTTTAATTTGTAGACAAAATAAAGCAATTTGGACCACTTAAAAAAATTTTTTTCTTCATTTCAAGCTAGAAGTTTTCAAATTTATTGTACTTCAACAAAATAACTGCTTAAATCGCAATTTTTAGCCAAAATAAAGCGATTTGAGCTGTTTTCAATACAATATTGCTTGATTTTAACCCAGAAAACATTCTAAATCGATGTGTGTTAAAAACTAATTGCTTAAATTCTAATTTTTGGCCAAATTATAGCAATTTGTGCTGTTTTTCAATCGATTTAGTTCAATTTTAAGCGAGAAATCCACGTATTTCAACAAAATGATTGCCTAAATTTCAGTTTCCAGCTAAAATACAGAAATTTGAGATATTTTCAAAAGGTTTTTGGTTCGATTTTAGTTCAAAAAATCGCAATTTTTGGCCAAAATAAAGCGATTTGAACTGTTTTCAAAACAATTTTGCTCGATTTTAACGCAGAAAACATTCTAAATCAATGTGTTTTAAAAAATAATTGCTTAAGTTTTTGGCCAAATTATAGCAACTTGTGCTATTTCCAATCGATTTGGCTCAATTTTAAGTCAGAAATCAATGTATTTCAACAAAATTGCAGTTTTTAGTCAAAATACAGCAATTTGAGCTATTTTCAAAACAGTCTTACTCGATTTTAACCCAGAAAACATTCTAAATCAATGTGTTTTTACATAATAATTACTTAAATCTTAATTTTTGGCCAAAATAAAAAAAAACGTCGTTATTTCCAGTAGTACCTGTAGCTATTTGTTTTTACTACAAAAGCTTGTCTAGCTTTGTATGTTTAAGAATAGATGACAAAAAAGGGAAAGAACCTAAATTTAGGCGTAATGCATTTGAAGATTAGGCAACTTAGAAAAAAATCAATGTTTTGTAGCAGCAAGATAAAATTACATAGAATTACTTTAGATTAAAGAGATTATTGCAATTTTTGTCGATTTTTTTGTAAATGGAATTAGTTGTACAATTTGTTGAAAGCTGTCAGCCCCTCAGTGTTGGCACATGTGTATTTACCTGTGCGTAAGCTCCGTAAGCTCCGAACTGGTTGAACACGAAGGGGTTGAGAAGACTCATGTTTCCGGCCATCTGCTGCATGCGTCTCAGTTGTCGTTCCTTTTCAGTATCGGCAAATTTTACTACTAAGCTGGAAGAAGCTCCCTGAAACCAAAAGACTAGTTTTACAGGAATATCAAATTTTCCAAAATCAAGCAAAAATTTGCGACAAGCGACCGTAAAGATAGTATATTTCAGAAACGTTTGGTTTAGAGTAAGAAATGTTTTCGACATAGAACGTCTAGAAAGCAGTTTGGTAAATCCGCCCGATGATCCTTTGAAGCAAATCAATTGGCATCGCTCGAGGAAAGTACGAAAGAGCAGTTCGGACACGAGTTTTTCCCTCTTTGCCACTCTCACAAATCTATTAGAAATCGTTAAATCCCGACTTGGGTGAAGGGCAGCATCCAATTTCGCATGTCTCCTCATCGGATCAGAAGAGACATTCTGTTATTGAATGCCGCGGGTTAGGCGACCGACAATACAGACATACCGACCAATAAAAGGCATAAGGCGAAGAGGCGGAGTCGGAATTAACGCAGACGCAAAAATTCAAGCAAACAATTTTAATCACAATATGTTTTTTGCTGCTATCGGAGCTATCTCCAGAGGGGTATCGATCGCAAAATAATGAACTGATTAATAACAACAGGAAAAATAATATTCCAAACGATTTATGCGAAAAATCCCGGCAGGTAGCATTGGATTCAACATAGCAGAACCATGTAAAAATTTAATATTTATCCAGATGAATCTGGATAATTTTTGAAGGGCTCGCGGTAAAGCGTGTGAAACATTGAGAATTTTTTGGGTTTGCATATTTATCTTTCTTTAGAAACCTTCCAAATTTTTTTATGTAATAAATTAGTCTGTTACATCTAACGACAAATGTAAAATTGTGTATTTAGTCGTAAAGTGGAACTTTTTTGGAAACATTTAAACTCTCGTTCGCGTTATGAATAATGAAGTCATGTCTAAAATCGGGGAGAAGTCCTTTAGCGAAAAAGAAGCCGAAGAGTGTTCTCAGGCGTGGCTTAATTCTCATACAAATTGAATAAGGCGTTCCATTAAGTGAGCAAGAATGAAGTGACCCTGTGGGTACAATATTAAACATGCATGAAGTTGCTTGCTCTCAGCTCTTTCTACTATACGACCCAATGTAAATTACATAAATTACATAGATTACAAATTTTCATGAATTTTCTCGTCTAATGACTGTTTTATTTTTCCTGTCGGAAAATTGTTTTTCAAGCGTAATCGGTTTTACTAAATTACGGTGAAGCTTACGCTAATCAAACTCGGTTTTTTCATGCATGTGAGGAGATCGATAACGGGAAATAAATTATGGGTAATCAGGAAAAATTGCAAGAAAATTTTTTAACTTTTAAGTAGCTGTTTAATTTTTTTGAAACATTTTTGGGTTAAATTAATAGAACATTTAAATTTAAATTAACATGTAAATCGATTAATTACATTCATTGCATGCTGATCGTTTATAAAATTTCCTGATTGAGGTGTAACCCCGTTTTAACAGGATAAAACTCATATCCTGTTAAATACAAGCACACTTGAAATCACTCACGTTTTGATAAATATGCATGCAATTACGTTCGTTTTTTGGGGTGTTTGTCCGGAGCGAAAATTGTTGGAAAACATTGCCAATGAAAGACCTAGAAACGTGGCCAATTAATTGAAAAAAATACTTTGGAACATATGTCAAAAGGGGAATTGTCACGCTAATAAAACCCTGTTTGCGCTGTGGATTTTGATTGTGAATAATTCACGTTTTGCACAAACGCCGACGACGTAATTGCCCTGCTTGATTTCCGGTTTCGTAGCGAAGTAACTGACCACCTGTTGATGGAATGCTAGAGTTTTTCCTCGCGGTTTTCCCACATCTGTTACACGTGTGAGAAAGCCAAAGCGTGAGTCGAATACTCGGACCTTTCGAGGGTCGGGATTTGGGGTCGGACACGGGTTATAGCCGGTGTAAAGCTTCAATTGAGACGTTGGAGAGGCGATATCAATCAATTTTAGATCGGATATCTTGACTCTCAACACCGAAATTTGAATCTCAATAACTTGTAACTTGGTACATGAGATAGTTCAATAGAAAACTTCATTATCCAAATAAAGGTAGAAAATTACAGACTTGTTTAGAATAAATAAAAAAGGGGTAAAACGTTTTCAAAAATTATATTTTTCTACAATCATAAAAAAGTTAAACTTTTCACATTGAAATAAATACGTAAAATTGGTCATTTGTGCCCAAAACAATATATTTTTTAAGATAGAAAATCGATCAAAATTTTGCCTAAAATCAAAAAAATTAAAAACTTTAAATTGCTCCAAATGCACTCATAGGAGTATAAAAGACCCAGAAACGTGTTAAAACGTTGTAGATACGCAAGAAATAAATTTTTTAAAAATTTTCTGTCTGTCAAAAAGTCTTAACGTTGGCACCCCTCACAAATTCATTCATGGTAATTTTTTTTAAGGAAGTTAGCAGTTTCCGTTTTTGATTTAATTAAAAAAAATGTCATTAAACGCCAGCATAAAAATCGCTTAAAAATTTTTGAAATCAAAACACAAAAACGGGACAAATTGGGTACCGCGAACAGTTTTTGGAAATTTGAAGACGAAAAGTGTGCTAGCAGAAGTCAGAAAAAGACCACTGCTAAAATTAAGATGCAATTTGTAATGCAGGTTTTGCTAAATATTCTCTAATTTTAGTAGGAATACAACATTAAAGAGAAAGAACGCAACTAAATTAGTAGGTCTAGTTGCACCGTTTTTGAAGAATGAGTTGAAAAAGTAACAATTTTGAAAATAAAGCCGAAGGAGAATTTAGACAAAATTTATTGCCGATCTTCATAAACCCTGCTTGTATCTTTTGCAAAATATTTTTTTTGTATAGACACCTTTTTTAATTAAAGTTTTTGTTACTACATTGTACTTACTTACAGTGTAGTTTAACATCACACAAACTGAAAACATAACCATAATATTTAACAAAATTTAAAGGAACAACAACAAAAAACAAACAAAATTTGTGGCTATTGAGATAAGCTGCCACCAATTTTTTCACCAAAATTTTGACTTGGTAACTTCCATTTAAAAAAGAGCAGACTATACTTTTTGCTTTCCGGCAGGTAGGTCCGAGGTTCTAACCCCGGTTAAGTCAGCAATTTTTCTCTAATTTAAATTTGAATATAATTCAACTAAATATCAAATAAAAGCGCAAAATTTTAAACAATTAAGAGAGAGAGAGAGCAAACAAGTGAAAAATGCGCGTTGTTTTAATAAGTATAATTTTAATTCAGTTTTTGTTTTTTACCTTCACTCAATCTCCACCTTTTGCCGTTTTCCACTTTTAGTGCTTCCCAATTTCCCAACAATATCCAGGAAAAAACAATTGCTATCAATTAAAATAACGTTTTTAACATGTGAGAGAGCGCTCAAGCAACCACATTTAAGGTATAAAATTGGGCATAAATTTGTAATATAGATTTGGCAAATACAAGTTTCGTTTCGGCACGACCACTATTGAAACTAGTTCGTAGCTGTGGGAGCTGAAATTCCTAATTGGATTTCCGCGGGAGAGTTGAAGCGAATGGCGCACTGCTTGTTAATTTATTTAACGACTTTTCAGTTCTTTAAAATAATAAAATGACTTTAGGAAAATCGCATTTTGCCACTGTTTTGTCTTTTGTAAGTTGGAAAACAGGGGAATCGGGGGTGTATATCAGCTGGGGGCAGGTTGATCCGGTCAACTAATGAACTGTAATCCTTCAATAATGAGCGGTGGAGCTGTACGCGCCGATAGGCTTTAGTTTTGGTGTCACTTCCTTTACGTCCCTTGAACGCCCTCGCGTGTAAACAGAGAGAACCTTCACCGGTTTCACACTCCAACGATTCCAATTACATACGTCGAATAATTACTCGAATGCTTCGATATTGTAAATATGTCTCCTCTTCACATTAATAAAGTAAAGACTAGTCGGAACATCTTATTATCTGAACCGTTCGAGCGAAGATGAGGCAAAGTTGACATAAACTTGATTAAAACAGTGGAAGTAGTGGTTCAAAGCCCGAAGATGGCCCCACTTGACCGAAACGATGTCTTCCATTTCGAGCTACAATTTAAAATTTCGCCACGGATTTGTCACATTTTAGAGTAATTTTACCGAAACTCAAGAGAAAAATGCTAAAGAACATGGGAAAAATACGAAAAAATTCTAACTATAAAAATTTCGACCTTATGGGGTTAAATTTTGCACTTTGACCTTATTTATTTCTGCTGGAAAAATAATTCTACATGTTTTCTAGCTGTAGGTTATTAGAAGAGGAAACAAAGAAGATTTATCTTGAATGGTAACTGTTTTTAACGTTATTTGTAGGTTTTATTGGCAAATATATACAAGATTAGCGGTAACATTAAATAGAAATAAAAAAGTCAAATGTCAAAATTATTTTTAGCATTTTTTCCATAGTATCTTATCTTACTTCTGGGGGTGCAAGTTCTAAAACACCCAGTATTTTTAGTTAAATAAAATGCATTAGAGAGCAATATTACACAGGTTTTGTTTAATTATTACAAAAAAAATTAAAAATGAGGTATGTACTGACACATGGCAGCTCCATAGGGATTATTTGCTTCCGTATAATTTCCTCTTAATTAAAATTATTGAGATCCGATCTCAAATTACATTTCCAGGAACTGCTAAAGCTCGTTTTAAACGGGTTATATAATTTTAATTAACTTCGTTGGAAAAATGTGTGTTTTTACCTTGCTCTCCTAGAATATGTAATTACTCCAGTCTTTGATGTTAATTTTGTTTCAATTTGGCGTTGCATATCGTTGTGACGCAAAGTAAATGCAATGTTAACTGAACTAAATAATAAATTGTTATGTGCTTAATAGCTTCAGCAAGAAATTAATTAGAAAGTATCAAAGAAAATTACAGCGCAGCACATCTTGTCACTACGTGAAACGCCATATTCCACCCTTTGGGAAAGTTTAACTTGTGAATAATAAATTATTACAGCCACGTAACTAATTTACCGTGAAAATAAACACAAGTTTTCAAGAATTTTGTGTCAAT